GTTTAAATTTAACGAACTAAAATTATTATTGTGAACAAGCTTATTTTTATTGAATCGAAATTACTACCTACGAGTATTTACTAATATAGTCCGAGCACATTTTTTTAAAAAATATAACTAAATAAGCTAAGATGTCATCCACAAAATAGTGTTGTCATTCCGTCCTAAAACTCCCATTACACTGGAAAAAAAAATTCAAAACTTGCACTTCTTTCATTAAACAATAATACTAATGGATCTTTATGTTTAACCAAAACTTATCACATTGTTAATCAAACTAGATATTAATGGTTAAACAATATATATGACAAAATTGTTGATCAAACCTGCATTTTGAAACTGATTATGAATGTCCTATTGCAGGGAAAATGGTCCTGAAGATGTCAGCATTCAAATCTTATTCTGTGGAGTTTGTCATTCTGACTTGCATTCTTTGAAGAATGACTGGGGTTTCAGTAGATATCCCCTTGTTCCTGGGTAATTTACTATGACATATCCTGTTCTTTCTAATAATTTTTACCATTTATGTAAATGTCCTTAATATCTATCATACCATTAGAAGTGTGCATTTTCTTTTCTGTTTCTGAATCCATTTTCGTTTCCTGGCTGATGGGTGTTTGTGTAGTTTTTTCGCTGTCTCTTAGCTTCTGTTGCTCTGATCATCACTAGATTGTTTTCTTGAATTGTTTAGGCATGAAATTGTGGGTATAGTCACAAAACTTGGGGAAAACGTGAAGAAATTCAGAGTTGGACAGAATGTAGGCGTCGGTGTCATTGTAGGCTCCTGTGAGAAATGTGAATCCTGTGAGCAAGACTTGGAGAACTACTGTCCTCGAATGATTTTCACCTACGGTGCCACAGATAAAGATGGGACGAGGACTTATGGTGGTTATTCTGACAAAATCGTTGTTAACCAACGATTTGTACTCAACATACCTGATAATCTGCCTCTTGATGCTGCATCACCCCTCTTGTGTGCTGGTATCACAGTATACAGTCCTATGAAGTATTATGGAATGGCGGTCAGTGGGAAGCATTTGGGAGTTTGTGGATTAGGCGGTCTTGGTCATGTTGCTGTCAAGTTCGGAAAAGCCTTTGGACTCAAAGTTACTGTCATTAGTTCCTCCCCTGCTAAAGAGGATGAGGCTCTCAACAGACTCGGCGCAGATGCTTTTCTTGTCAGCACTGATGCTGCAAAAATTAAGGTAATGGCTTACTACTTCTAACCTTGTTTTTCTCTTTTACTATAATTTCACGGATTTTGTTATTGTGTTTATGTATCAGTGTTAGTTGCTCAGATCATCAGGAATCCTTGCAGTACTTTATTCCAAGCGAATATGTACTGTGATAGATTTTCAGTCCTATATACAATGGATTTTAAATTCGATTTTTTTTTTTTTTTTTTTTTTTTCATGTAGGATGCAATGGGGACAATGGACTTCATTATTGACACCGTCTCTGCGGTGCATTCATTGCTTCCTTTGCTTGGCTTACTGAAGCTGAATGGGAAGCTTGTTACTGTCGGTCTCCCAAACAAACCCCTGGAGCTTCCTGTATTCCCCTTGGTTTTTGGTAAGCTACTAAACGTTTCTTGTATCTTTGGTTACATACATACATGGTGTTTTCATTACATTCGTTACTTAGCTTGTTTCTGAACAATATATACAGGTCGAAAACTTATTGGAGGAAGTGATATTGGGGGGTTGAAGGAAACACAGAAAATGCTAGACTTCTGTGGAAAGCATAACATCACTGCAGACATAGAACTCATTAAAATGGATGAGATAAACACAGCTATGGAACGCCTTGCAAAGTCTGATGTGCGCTATCGTTTTGTGATCGACATAGGCAATTCCTTATCAGCTTGTAAAACATAAAAGTCTCAGTTCAACTTCTGCCATGAAATCCCTGTTAGCTAGGCAAGTTGAAATCTTGGTTTAGTAGAAGTCTGAAACAGTATAATAAAGTTGGGTCTTTGAAATTTGAACTATCTTATGTTAGATATGAAAACTATATCTAGTCTGTTCCTACTGAATTTTCTTTGTTAGTGATTTTAACATCTTTAACTAGTTTTGCAATGTTAGTGATTTTTTTGCCTTTTGATCATACTATTCAGTATGCGATGATCAAATTACAAATTGATATGGAGTATTAAATCGTTAGGTGCACTTAAAAACGTATACATTAGATAATGTGTGTATGTGGCGATAATAGGAATGCGGTCTAGGTGTTTGTAAGACGTTTGATTGGAATACACTTGGACGATGAAGTGTGAAATGTGATTAGGATTACTCCTGGATGATGAAGGTGTGATGAGAAGAACATTTGAGAATAGAATAGGGTAAATCAACTCAATCTTTTTAAGAGTTTATACATGAGAGTAAATTTAGAATTACATACTTCGTATTTGTCAAGTGCAAGTATTAGTTAGTTGAAAAGAAGTTAAAGGCTTCAAGGTTATTACATGTAATCTGTTTTTCAATTTCAATTGTCGATTTTTAGGTGTACACTTGTTTTGCAATAATATAATGTAATACTATTTTTATTTTTTGACGATAACTAATATGTACATGTTATTTATTTCTTTTTTGACGGAAATGTAAGACATCAATACGAGAATACACTATATAGAAACATTAAAACAACAAATGAGGTTGTAGTGGAAAATTTTACTAGTATTACCAAACAAGATTTAATGTAGTGGAAAATTTATACGGAGTATCTCACAATCAAGAGGTTGTAGCATTTAATGATCAAATCCCATGTACTATCTAAAGACACTTTTGGGGTTGGTCCGTTGGTATTCCTCTACCATTTGGTCCCATCCTCAATCTCATTAACTTAGACCGGATTTATTTACAAGAGGTTCTAACCTGATAAGGTCTTTCTCCTCCTCAAATAAAATTTTTTTCCTATTTTGTTAGAAGATCAAGATAGGTACAGTATCTTTTATCCAAATCCCACTTTCACCCAAAGTGTATTACTGTCCTTTCAAGTGTTAATGCCATGTTGAAATTTAAGCCAAACAAATGACCCGTAAAAAGGTTTATACTACGTAAATTGTAAAGTTCTTAAAGTACATTTAATGAAGTCTTGAAAAAATATTTCTGGATAATTGAATATTCTTATACGACTTTTTTTACTAGTAATCCCACGTGCTTAATGTATCAAATCATTGAACTACAACTTTGACTTTGACCTATGAACTATAGAGTACCAAGTTTTGGCAGTGATCCTACAATGTCCACGGTTTTCACAACAAAATTTCATATATATTTGACCAAAAATTTAAAAAAAAAAAATTATAGTTTACCACTTTACCAGAACTTTCAAAAGTCAAAGCTAATAATAAAACAACTGGAGTCAGCGTAGAGCAATTTGTAAGTTTGAATAATTTTTGTTTTTTTTAAACAATAAGTTTGAATAATTTGATTAAGGCACACTTTGTAACTATCTAACTTTTATCCACTTGAAATTAAACAATTCATGATCTTTGAAATTTTGAAACAACTGAATCTATTCCTTCGAATAAAATGAATCATAGACTAACATTCTAACAACTTGCAAGTCAAAACCTCACCTAGCACCACTTAACTAACAAATAAATTACTAGTTCTGATATTTAAACACTAGTTACAACTTACAATGCAACATAATACTTTATATATTAACGAAACCAACTCAACCAATTACTCTTTGTTAGTTTAACAAATTAAAGACAACAAGTCAACACATAACATTTAGCATTTTCGGGCATGGAACAGAATATGGCCCTAGCAAACCCGTCCCAAAATTCGTCATACATAATGTAAAAGACTCAATAGATTTTTTTTTTCCCGAATATGTCATAAAAGTAATGTGTTTTATGAATTGTATCGTCTTCCTTTGATAAAGCTTTCTCAAACCTTATGTTTTCAACTTTCTTGGTTTTTCATTTAAAATTCACTTAACTTTTCTTAAATGCTCTTTCGTTTACTCACTTCACTCACCTTCTTTCAAACGCTTTTAAATGATAGTCTTGTTATGTCCATTTCTTTATATCGTACGATTCCTTATGACAATTCATGTTAGCCGACCCCAAATCATTTTAGGACTAAGGACCTGTTCTCATTCACTGAACTGAACTGAATATTTTATAAGAGAAGGAAATTAGGAGCTGAACTGAACTGAATTTCAACGTAAGAGAACAGGCCCTAAGACTTTATTGTTGTTAATGATGATGATGTGATATAAGTAATGATTTTTTTTCCCCTTTTATAAATTTTATGACTTGTATTTAATAAATCTAATAAACGAAATACAAGTTTAAAGATGGTTAAAAAAATGTGCATATATATGAAACCACATATAAAGCAAATTAGAATATCCCTATGGAAGGAATGGAGCGGTAGTTATTTTTGTTGTAGTGTTTTTCAATTAATTCTACGGACATACATATATTATATTATTATGTAACCTATCAGTGGATTAAATTTGTACTCGGTTGATTATAAGAATATTTTTATTTATATAGATAATACTAAAAATAATCGCTTCATTTATAACCATAATTATCCTTATTATAGTCATGAATTTAGTTAATTTAGACTTTTTCATTATTTTCAATACATGGGAGGAATTGGAAGAGGCATCTTTGTTTAGCAACTCTTTCCTTCTTAAGTGCTCTTTCTAACATCAATATCTTTATTTAAAAAGCACATATATAATTAATATTTTAAAACTATTACAAAAGTGAAGACGAAGCTAACAATAAGTTTTATCTTATAGCTATTGATGAATAGTCATGCCCAATTTCTCTTTTCAACTAAATATCCTTAACCAAAGCAAAAATGTTAAAAGTAAAAAAAATGAGCAAAACTTAAATTTTTGGTATTAGTAAGCATTAAGGATATGGCATTATTGCAACTTTGCAACATTGCGTCATTGCTTGAGACACATGACAACTTTTTCTGGACCAAGTAATTATCCTCAATTTAAAACTTTTTGACAAGACACGATCCTCAATTTAAAACTACTAGTGTATTAAGTATTTAATTATGTATTACAAGAAAAAAAAAAACATGAAAATAATTCCATATTTGACCATGAGTTAATCAAAGTCAAACCTAAAAAAGCCCCCAAAAAAGAAAGAAACAGGGGAAAACAGAGCCAAAGCACAAATACAATACAAACTACTACAACACTTCTACACTCTATAGTCTACTATAATTGAACATACTAATTATATGATAAATCCTTAGACTCCTTCATCTTCCTTTGACTTCCACGTGGAAGAATCTCATCAGTAGGATATGCTAATGGTGAGGTTGACATTGATGAAGAAGGTAATGAAACAGAGGAACCACCCTGTTGTTGCGGCGGAAGCGGAGGAGAAGACAAAGAAGAAGACATTAACATTTGATCTAATAAACTTAATGACCTATAATCACCTTCATTAGAATCAAATGAACCACTAATTAATCTTGAATAATCAATATAATCTTTGTAATCCTCTGTTTCTTGTAAAAACTCCAATGGTTGATTTTGCACTAACTCTTCGGAATTTCTAGGAGCAGCAAAAAGGGTTGCCGGAGAATTGGAAATGGTGAAATGGGTCGCCGGAATATTCGCCGGAGTATGCTGAAAAGTGACATTTTCAGGGAAATTGAGTTTGGCTTTGCTTCCTCTAAATTTAAGGGCAGCTTCGTCGTAAGCTCGGGCAGCAGCCTCAGCAGTGTCGAAAGTGCCTAACCAAACACGGGCAGCTTTGTAAGGGTCCCTAATTTCAGCTGCCCACTTGCCCCAAGGCCTTTGTCTAACTCCCCTGTATTTTCTTCTACTTGGCTCTGTTCCAACTTGTTGTTGTGATGTAATGTTGGTGCCTTCGTTTTTAATGGGATTTTGATGAGTGTATGTGAATGTTGCAGTTGTTGTTGTTGGTCCCTCTGCAAGTAGAGAAATTATATTAGTATCGTATTCATTAACATTGTATGTGTGGTGTTACATCACAAGATTCGAAACTAAAAGGATATTTTCATCAAAATTGCACAAGGTAATGTGCTAAGGGCCTGTTCTCGTTGACTGAACTCAGCTGAAATGAACTCAACTGAACTGAACTGAGCTGAACTGAACTGAACTGAATTGAGCTGAGCTGAACTGAATATTTTATAAGAGAAGGAAATTAGGAGCTGAGCTGAACTGAACTGAACTGGGCTGAGCTGAATTTCAACGTAAGAGAACAAACCCTAAGTGTGTTGAATAGTGTTCAAATAACTAGTTTAATTGATAAAGTATTCAAGTTAAAGAGGAAGTGAGATTTTTATTAATGTCAGGGATTTTTGTTAGGCTAATTAGAATGTATCGTTGAAGTCATTATAGTTTATAGCGTTCTATTAATACAGCTTAGCCGAACCAATTATCTAAACACTAATATTGCAAAGTCTAGATATTGGACATTCAAACACTTATGCTTTGTACATAATAGCAATCAAACACATTTTTTAGAGTGATAATACTATTAGTTTCTCATACTCGTGATACAATGCAGAGAATTAAAAAAAAACTTATTTATATACGATAATCACATATTCATACTGGTACCTAGTATTCTAGTAAGATATATTCTCGAAACCGTACCCTACATTCATAAAATAGTGTTCTAAATTCAAAGTGTTTCCATATACTACGTAGATAGGTTGATGGTTACAAATGAAACATATTGAAAGAGGTCGGCAAGCCACAATCAATAGAACAACATGAGGACTTTTTTATATCCTTAAAACATGACAATTTCTATGCACCGTGTTTAAGGTTTTGCTGTACTAATTATGAAGTACTAAGAATCTTAGTTGAATATTATTATTATTCAACTATAGTACAAATTAAATTAAAAGTATATATCCACTTGAATTTGGAACACGGAAATTAGTCATTTAGCATATATTGTGAACACAATACAGTGGATCACTCTAGCAAATGGACAAGACAGCATGCATTATCCCAATTTGTGATGCATAAAGTAATACACAATATATTATTAATTAGTTTACTACTCCGTACAATGCATGTATGTAATAGCATCAATACAATATTATTTCGTGGCACTTTATTTATTTATTTCTATTATTATATTATTAATCGTTTATTTTAAAAATATTCCTTACGATAAACTCACGCGTTTAATGTCTTAGACGTTACATAATGAATACTTAAATAATTAATTTATACAAATTTTAAAGGGTTTATGTAAAATATGGATTAATGGTGTACTATATACGTACTGTGTACAGGTATTTAGCTAGCTAGCGTGTTACGGCACCAGATAATGGTTCTAATGTTTGTTTGTTCTACAATCTATAAATATTCTTGCTCACAACCGTATATTTATACTGTTCTTAGAATAAATAAAATGTATATTTAACAAATTATTTTATATATTATGCATTTTATGACATGAAAAGTATTAATAGAGGTAGCCGATGTAGGGATAGCATCACATGCATTAACGCATAATTATACCTAAAAATCTAATGCCATCCTGTTGTACTAATATCATGATGCATATATATGATTGTCACACCGAAAATTGCATCTCTTGTATAGTTGTATGTGAGGTGTTTTTCTCTAAAAAATAAAAAAATAAATTATTAATATAATTTTATTAAGCTTTTTCATACGTACATCTAATAAAATTTGTACTACTTAGTTTATGAACACTACTAATGTATGAACTAGCTTAGCAACCTTTGATATGTTATATTCTTTTTAACACAATTATCTCTTTTACTTCAACTTTAAAACTTTAAGATGGATGTATGAGATTTCATCTAAAGTGCATATTACGTGAATATAATTTTAATTTTTTTTCTTATTCATATACGTAATATGATTTATGTTTGAACTGAACAGATGATAAATTATTTCAGTAGTGTCAATTAATCTATCTATCTAACTTAATTACAATTAATAATTTCATGCGATATTAGTATCCTAATCTTAAGTAAATTAAGAGAAACAGTATAAATTTAAATCCACCGCTAAAAAAACAAAAAAGATTATTCTTAGTGAAGTCTAGAAGATAAGTACTAAAAAGACGTACCTTTTAGTGGAAGATATGGATTATAGGAAGAAGAAACCAAACTTCGTCCATCTCCTTCAACACCCAAATATGATCCACCCTCTTCATCTCCATGCCTTCTCTTCACCCCAAAACCCGACGACGACGACGACGACAACCACAGGCTATAATAATCATTACTCATCGAAGCAGCACCAGAAACAACATGAGTAAGAGCAGAAACCATCTCATGCATTTCTCTTTCCCTACTAAAACCCGGTATCATTGGACTTAATATCTCTTTCATCATCATATTCATTCCTTCTTCTTCTTCAATTGAGCTACTTGTATTATTACTCATTTTAATAATACTTGTTGTTTCTTCAGAGTTACCATCTTTATTTCTTTTGCTTCTTTTCGCCACCTTTTTTTCTTCTGAGAAATATACACACATTAATTAACAAAGGGTTTAATTTAATTAACTTTGTGTTTAATATTTAATACTACTGCTGAATATAATTCTAAACTTCTAGATAATTTTGACGGTTTTATGTAATAAATGGCTAGCAAACATTTATGTATATATATACGAAATAATTTAGATTGAGACGCCGCCATTGAATTTTAAAAATTAAAAATAATAATGTGGATATTATGCTTGGAGAGGAAGAAAAAGTATTGTACTTGTATTATACATACTACAGTTATTATTTAAATATAGTTTTTTATTTATTTTAATTTTGGAGGGAATTTCTTGGTTCTTACTTGGCCAACTTGGATTTGGCTTTCTAGCTACTAGCTTATTTTTGCAAGTGGTTAATTTGGAGTTGAAACTAAAAATTATTTTGTGAGCCTTTTCTCCTCCTCCTTTGTGACTCCCCCTGATCATGATGCCTTCCCCCTACCCTTTGTTGAGTCTAGGTCTAGAATAGCTATTGCTCAGATCCCTGATCAGAAGGAGATTTGGAATGTCATTTCTAAGCTTGGTTCTTTCAACCTTTCTTCTACAACATGACCTCACCTCTTTCATTAGGGCTATCTTTGAAGCCAAAGCCATTCCTGAGCATATCAATGAGACCTTGATTGCTATCATTCCCAAAGTGTCGGACCCCTCCTCCATTTCCCAATTTAGACCTATTAGCCTCTGCAATACGGTTTACAAGATTGTGACAAAAATCATTGCTAATAGATTGAGAGTATTCTTGCCCTCTAGGATATCCCCTAATCAAAATAGCTTTCTCCCGGGTAGAGGCACCGAGACTAATGTGATTGTGGTTAATGAGATCTTACATTCTTTGAAACTAAGGAAGGGCAAGAGAGAGGTTGGTTTGTGTTGAAGATCGACCTTGAAAAAGCTTATGATAAGCTTGAATGGGTGTTTATGAAAAATGCTTTAGATTTCTTTGGTCTAAAAATGAAGAAGTTAGGTTTAAATCAAAGGGAAATCGGGAGAATTTGGGGATAATTTCAAAAACTAGCTGTTATGGCAGGCCCCTCTGTCACCAGAGTTAGGCTTAGGTGGGAAAACTGATGTTTAATTTTTTTATGAGGTGGTAAAGTAAATCTTTTTTTTTTTTGAGGTGGTAAATTTAATAAAGTCGTTATTTGAAGGTGGTAAAAATCAAAATTTCCTAATAATTACTATCAAAGTAAGAATAATTCGTATCAAATTTCATAAAAAGCGTCAATAAAATAAGAATACTAAGGGTCTGTTCTCTTACGTTGAAATTCGGTTCAGTTTAGCTCAGCTCAGTTCAGTTCAGTTCAGTCAATGAGAACAGACCCTAAGTTAACATCATCACATAGGATGGATGCTAATACCTTAAACATTAAATTTTAGCAATTTTATTTTATAATTGCATAATTAATAAAAAAATCAAATCATGATGGTACAATTAAAATGAGTTGACATAGTTAATTGAGGAAAGTGATTAAAAAAAGTCAAAGTTTGACTCGTGGATGTTTAATTTTAAAAAGGAAAGATGTCAAAAAAGATAAGAGGCTAAGAGAGGAGGCACGGTGTGAACGTTAAGTTGTCAACGAAGCAAAACAGCGTCAACATTTTTAACATCAACTGTTTCTTCCAAATTAAGGCAGAGGTCGGCCTCTACAACCATCTAACAGACCAGAGAGAGTGACGAAACCTGATTAAGCAGCAAACCAATGCACGTTAGGAACCGACATCCAAACTCTAAACTTTTATGGTCCCTCCTTCAGTTCTCTGTATCTATGATGTGAACATTTTTGTACCGTTTCACTACCAAAATATAAATTCGCTTTTCTATTAGAGTCAAATACTTTCTCGAACCTATACATACCTTTTTTTAATTTGTATAATGTATAGTGTATTTTTTCATGTGGGCTTATTATACATACTTACTAGATTCGCTCTGAGTTTTTTAAGAAAAAATATATATACACGTGATTGATTTTAAGAACTTAATTTCGCTTTAGATTTATACTCGTATTAGATCAACATGCACGCAATGTACTCTTTAAATTTAGTAAAATTTATGTGATATTTAAAATAGAGGAACTGAAACTAATCCACCTTTGCAACATGATAAGTTGATAACACCTTTAGATGTATCAAAACTTTTCAAGCCTACTTAGTAAGTTGCAATCCTAAAAGCTAAAAATTGATTAGGCACTTGCTCTAATTAATTTACAAAAAGCAAATGATCATTCTGGAAAATGACTGCACAAAAAAAGGATAATTCTCCTTCAAGATGCTCCTACAAAGTATAAGATTTTGCCCTACTCTACTTTAACAGCTTATTCAAAAGTCCCAAAACAGGTGTTTTTTTGTAGCCTTTTTCAATGTTGGGAGTTGGGACCAATCTATGTAGTACCGGGGCGTTTGGTTGGAAGGATGGGAATAAGAGGAATAAGAAGGGGGATAAAGATAGAGAATTAATAGGTGGGACAAGGATAAATTAAGAATAAGTAATAAATTTATAAAAATACCCTTACTAACTTCTACCTTTCTCCTTACTTTTTTCAATTTCATTAAGGGTAATTTAGTCTTTTAAAACCCATTATAATCCCTTCCTCTTATACCACCCCCCTTAGTTATAGAAATGGATAAATAAGTGGGTGATTTAATCCCTATCCCTAACCCCCTTATAATCCCCATCCCTCTAAACAAACACTACATTCCTTCCATCCTTATTTTTTATCCTTGTCCCACCCCTTTTATCCCCCTAAACAAACACCCTCTACTAGTACTACTAGTAAGCATATAAGCATATAAATCTTTCGAATTAATAATAGGTAACTTAATTATATGGAAAATCATAAAATAAAATGAGAGCCACAAGTTCTTCTCATTCCACTATATAATGATAATAGTATAAGCACAAGAACAATACTAGTACATTCATATCCCAAGCTTACTTTATATACAAAGATGCCCAGCTTGGACAGCTATATTGTTTCAGTCGTTTTGACCGGATTCGTTCTTTCAGCAAAATATACATGAATTTCTCAAACAAGCAACAAGTATCGCCTAAACAGATTATTATGCCACTAGGCTAGACAAGCACTGATGATAAATATAAACGCTTATGTTGCATACATGGATCATGTACTTTTTAACTTCCACAAGCCAAGCAGTCATCGCGGTTTGTCAGTGAACATACCATCTGTGCTAGTTTTGAATTGTCATCTTCAGCTCCTGCTGCTGCTGCTGCGGCTGTCTTGGTTGGATCCTAAATTTAGTGCCACAGAAACAGATGTCAGCAAAAGATAACTGGGACGTACTCTAATATATCAACAAATTAACTGGTAAAAATAGTGCAATACATTTAGTATGGAAGTATCCACAGTGAACTTGATAGCATCAGCAGCTGCTCTTGTCCTTAAATAGTACATGCCTGTCTTCAAACCCTTAGACCATGCATGGAAGTGCAGAGAGGTTAACTTTCCGAAATTGGGTTGTGTCATATGAATATTTAGGCTTTGACTTTGATCGATGAAACATCCTCGATCAACAGCCATATCAACCAGTGTTCTTTGTTTAATTTCCCAGACAGTCCTGAAAAGGGTTTAAAGTGTCAGCACCCAAATGAAAGAAAGTAAAGTAAAGAGGAATTCATATACTGTAGGATAATCAAAATCCATACTTGTAGATAGCTTTCAGGTCTGCTGGGATCTCAGGGATTTTCTGAACAGAACCATCATCATATACTATCTGGTTCTTCAGCGTAGGAGACCAAAGACCCATCTCCGTCAAATCATTAAGAAGATGTTTGTTCACCACAACAAATTCACCACTGAACAAAAAAAAAAGAAATTAAGGTTAGAATAAAATTGGATCAGATAGGACAGGCTATGAGCCTATGACTTAGGTAGCACTACAAACCTTAAAACTCTTCGACTGTATATGTTGGAGGTGTATGGTTCAAAGCACTCATTATTTCCGAGAATCTGGCTTGTTGACGCAGTTGGCATAGGAGCCACAAGAAGTGAATTTCTAATACCATCCTTAGCTATCATTTCCCTAAGAGCACTCCAATCCCACCGGTCTGAGGGAGTAACACCCCACATATCTGGTTGAAGAATACCCTGTGTAATGCAAACAATGACCATAAGCTTTTAGAAAATGCAATTGGAGCTTTGTAAATAAAGGAATTCATCACAGCCAACTAAAAATGCTTTCAATTTCCAGTCATACATTGCTGACAGGGCATCCCGGGTATGTCTCATAGGTGCCTTCTTTTGCAGCCAACTTACAAGATGTTTTAAGAGCATGATAGTATATGGTCTCGAATATGTCTTTGTTCAACTGCTGGGCCTGCAATTCACAAAAAACAATTGAGAGGGATAAGAATTTGCATCATGTTTGCAAGGAATGTTGAAGATTTAAGAATGTTACCTCTGCTGAGTCAAAAGGCATGCCAAGCAAAATGAAAGTATCTGCAAGGCCTTGGACTCCGATTCCAATTGGCCTGTGTCTCATGTTTGATCTCCTTGCAGTTTCAACAGGGTAATAATTCACATCAATAATTTTGTTTAAGTTTGTGGTAACAACTTCAACAACCTCAGCTAATTTATCAAAATCAAAGTAGCGATTTTTATAACCCAAACTTCCAACAAGTTTAGAAGGCTGAGACTCAGAAGGAATCCCCTGCACAGAAATGTGAAGTTTAATTATCAAGAGAGGGAAAAAAACAGTTAAAAGCTTTTGCATAATAGAAAGGTGGGTGGTCATAAAATGAACTATTATTACCTTCTCCCTCACATATCGTGGAAGAGCAATAGATGCCAAGTTACACACAGCAGTTTCTGTTGGACTGGTGTATTCAATAATCTCAGTGCACAGGTTTGAAGACTTAATAGTGCCAAGGTTCTGCTGGTTACTCTTCCGGTTACAATGATCCTAAAATTGCAAAACATAACAGTTGGTTAAAAGCAAACCATAAGGAAAGGTATGTTGCAATATCTTAACAGTTATAACTTTCTGATTAGGAACATATCTTACCTTGAACAGCATGTAAGGAGTTCCTGTTTCAATTTGAGCCTTCAGTATCTCAAACCACAAAATTTGAGCTCTAACAGCCTTCTTTGCTTTACCCTGGTTGAGAAGATATACATGCAAAAAATCAGCAAAAATCATTATTTAAATATACAAGTATATAACCCATCACTAAATTGCAATGCAAACAACCCTCTTAAAAAAAGGATATGTTACCTCTTCTTCATATTTTAGGTAGAGGTTTTCAAATTCTTTACCCCAGCAGTCAGCAAGACCTGGAGCCTCATTAGGACAAAACAAGGACCACAATTTATCATTTTGAACTCGTTTCATAAAAAGATCTGGTACCCAGAGAGCATAGAAGAGATCACGAGCACGCTGCTCATCCTGAAAACAGAAAACGTAAATTTATATTACAAGGAGGCACATTAACTCCTAAAAGATAATGCAATATCAATATTTCTCACAGCAACAGGTAGGTTACTGATATAACATATATCTATGATTTCAATAAATTGCTAATAAGCACAATGACTGAACACACCTTCCCATGATTCTTCCTTAAGTCTAGGAACTCGAATATATCAGCATGCCAGGGTTCAAGGTATATCGCAAAAGCACCTACATAAAGGGATACATACTATGAGATAACATGCCCTACACAAAAAGGAAATTGATTAAAATGAGATGTAAAGACAGTATTGAACCTTTTCTCTTCCCCCCTCCCTGGTCAACATATCGTGCAGTATCATTAAACACCCGCAGCATAGGGACAATGCCATTTGATGTCCCATTAGTACCACGTATATAACTTCCAGTGGCACGGATGTTGTGCACAGAAACCCCAATACCTCCAGCAGATTTGCTGATAACAGCACACTCCTTCAGAGTATCATATATCCCTTCAATGCTATCATCTTTCATGTTGATAAGGAAGCAGCTACTCAACTGACATTTCCATAAACAACCAAGGTTAATATTCTATTAACAATAATTGCAGGAAATAAAATATTAAAGCCATAAAACAGTACTAATAAACTTATAAATATCACATACTTGAGGCCTTGGTGTGCCCGCATTGAAGAGAGTTGGAGAAGCATGGGTGAACCACCTTTGGGACATCAAGTGGTACGTCTTGATGGCCGATTCGATATCATCCTTGTGGATCCCAACAGCAACCCTCATCAGCATGTGCTGCGGTCTCTCCACAACCGTCCCTTGAACCTTCAGGAGATATGATCTCTCGAGGGTTTTGAAACCAAAGAAATCATAGTCAAAGTCCCTGTCATAGATTATCTCACTGTCCAACTGAGCAGCATTCTACAATACAAAATTACAACCATTCATCATTTCACCAGTCTCAATACAAAATTAACAACAAAATTTTCATTCACAAGTTTCTAATCATTATACTAATTTAGCTCATTAGACTATTTTTTGGTTCTAATTTACTTGTATTAAATTTCTATCCTATATCACGCTGTGCTAAGATCATTTCTCTTGTTAGATCTGAAGCAGTAACAAAGTTTCATTGACTGAAGGAAAAAATGTTACTCCGTACATGATAATTTGCTTAATTATGCTAATTAGTGAACAATGTAAACACTTATATTAGATCAAACTTCAAATAATATATATCAATGACAACACAATACATGTACATATAACATAAACACCGCATGACATATAACATAAACACGACATCGAACCATCAACCAAAAAACACAATACAAAATCGGATTCAGTTAGGTTAAACATTGCAGTCAAATACATCAAATGATATAAAATCGCGCTGAAGAAATACCTTCATGATAATATCATACACATCATCAGCAACCAAAGGAGCCTTCAATCCAGACCTCTCATTAAAATGAGTGTACATCTCCTTAATCCTACATCAACATCACAATTAATCCAATTAAAAAACCTCAACAATCTAAATTCCAATTATAAAAACAAATCATAACATTATAACACCACTTACGTCTCAGAGAATGACTTCTTAGTTTTCTTATGCAAATTCGAAACAACAATCCGTGCCGCCAACTACAACAACAACAACATCAAACCAAATCAAACACCGAAATCGAACCCGAAAACACAATCAATCAATTAAAGCAAACCCCAGAAAAATAAAATTAGAAAACTCACAGAAGCATAATCAGGATGATTAGCAGTCATAGCAGCAGCAGTTTCAGCGGCTAATTCATCAAGTTGACTAGTAGTAACACCCTTATAAACCCCAGCACAAACTTTCTGGGAAACAAGAACAGGGTCACAATGATCTACACTGAGACCATAACTCAACTTCTTCAACCTCGCAGTAATCTTATCGAAATGAACCGTCTCTTGACGCCCATCTCTCTTCACTACATACATCTTCTTCCTCCCTTTTCTAAGTTAGTTTATTTTTTGGTTTTGTTCTCAGAGGAATTTCGTCGAACAGGTTGTGCGCAAGAAAAATGGATAACCCAGTAAAGAATAAATAGGAAAAGAGGGTAGAAAAAAGGAGGCGGGATTTGGAAATATTTGGGGATTAGGGTTTCGATTTTCCCTCGTAGAATATTGTCTAATTGCGGTGAAATTAATTTGAGATTTGAAAAATTGGCGCCAAAATTGGGGAAAACTTGTTGAGCAATTTTTTCATTTAAATTGAAAAATCTGAAATAGCGGGTTCATGTGAGTGGAAGAGTGGAGTGGTTGAGTAATTGATTAATTTGGGGGGAATATCGAATTTGTAGGGGACCTTTCGCTTTAATTTATTGCTTTTGTTGGCCGTGATTTTGATTTTTGGGATTGGTTTCCCGCTGATCTTTGGCGGTTTTTATTTTTTTAATTTAATACTTCCTCCAACATGAATTTGATTGACCATATATATTGTAAGTTTGAGTCAATTTTTAAATCCTTGATTTTATAATATTATAATATCACTATTATAAATTGATATTAATAAAACATATATTATATAGAAGTTTTTGTTTGGTCTATTTTAAAGATATCATTGTTTTTATTTTTTTTAGTCATATTTTATTTTTTTTAGTCATAATTAAGATTTTGCATTAAAAAACTGTAAAATTTAAAATGTATAGAATAAAAATATAACAAAGGTAGTGTTTTTTATTCAAATTTCAAAACTATAAAATGATATTGCAACTTTGCAAGTTAAATTGAACTTTAGTAGCCCTTTTTATTCAAAGAACTTATCTTATAAAATTTTTGGAGTATTTTTCAAATTTCATGAATGAAAGATAAGGTCAACATATTAAAGCCATTTTTTATTTTTTTTTTTGTAAAATTATCTTACTTCATATATCAATTACTTCTTTTGTAAATCCTTTTTATGTTATGAAATTTATATATTTTTTGGTGTTTAGATAGCCGGCAAGTGATGAGAATTGATTCCAAATCGGAAGGAGAGCTAACCCTCACTTTCAATATGAAATTTTATATTAATACCTAATTAACACTATATTATATATATATATATATTACTAAATTAATTTTATATATATACATATTACTAAATTAAATTATGTTCATTTTTTTCCTATTGTGTTACAATTTAGGAACAGAAAAAAAAATTATTTTAATATATTTTGCCTAGACTTTATTCAAACATATTTTAGTTAATTTTGTCAAAAATAAGGGTTTGTTCTGATTAGCTGAACTAAACTGTACTTAATGAAGCTGAACTGAATATTTTATGAGAAAAATAAATTAAGAACTTAATTAAATTTATTAGAGCTAATTGAACTAGCTGAAAATAACAGCTTTAAGTTGAACCAAATGAATTTTATACTTTTTTTTGAGAGATTTTTTTTATACTTTGTTCTAAAAAAATAAAAAAATTACTTGTGCCAATGTGGGTTTGTTGTCCAAGTGTAAAATAATGGCTGATTTGCTTCTTTCAAAGCAACACACATTGGAAAAGCATGTGACAGGACTGACAACCTTCGGCTCCAAAGGTAAAATAATGGCCGATTTGCTTCTTTCAAAGCAACACACATTGGAAAAGCATGTGACAGGACTGACAACCTTCGGCTCCAAAGGTGTTGGACTTGGATTGATTTTATCGGCGTTATCTGATTTCGATATTGGGCTAGTTTATTCCTGACCAACCCAACCGGGTAACTAGTACAAAACCTCATATGGGCCGTTATGCACACTCACACAATCACAGCTAAAAGGAAGTGCTCGTGATTCTCGTAGAGATAAGCATGGGTGAGGCCGGCACGTAAAAGGTCCTAACCCCAACACAAGCTTGGCATAATATGAGAGACACGTCAATACGTCATTAAATTATATTAAATCAATCGAATACGAAATTATATTACAGGGAATTGTTAGTATCTCCTAAAAATATAAATACAATTATTGACATGACAATTATATTAAAGGGATTGTTAGTGTGACATGACACATGAAACTAGTCATGCATATACTCTATTTATGAAAGTTCAGGAAACTCCTAACAAAACACAACCATTTACTGATATACCTTACTTAATCACAAGATAATACGTTGGCATTACACTTAGCGATACAAATAAATACGAGTACAAGTATATGGATAATCGGATCACCCTTTATGCTAATTCAGATTCGAAACTCGATTACAAGAGGTTAGATTCTAATCTCAATCCAATTATTATTGCGGAGGATCGAACCCGTGGTTTTCAATACCAAGTACAACCCCATTTATCAATACAATATGGATTAATCTAAACAATGGCAGTCACATGGTAAACCTTGGTAATAACGATACAACGTTACTAAACACACACGCCAACAAACTCATACAGCCATTCATTTACAGCTGTCAAATATTAACAAGATATTAAAACTTTATATTATCTCACTTAATCCCAAAGCAAACAAATAAAACGAACAGTCAACTACCCTCCAATAATCTCTTTCAAAAAAAAAAAAACTACCCTCCAATAATCACCACCGCCAACGCACCATTCCATTTTCTCTCTCCTCCCCCTCTCTCTTCCCCTTCTCGTCTCTCTCACACGAACATCACTCTCTTTACAGTTACTCACGACCACACTTCCACCTCTCCCTTTCTCTCTCCTCTTTCTCTCTCTAACTCAAGCTTCCATTTCTATGGCGGAAGAGAAGGAATCTACGTCTGTTCCTCTCAGTCAAGATGATCCTGAAGATCCTGCTAAAGCTCCTCTCACTTCCTCCAATTCTTCGTCTCGCGAGGTTAGGGTTTCCTCTTTTTACTAATTTTGTTTGTTTTCGAATTGTAATTGGGTTTTTTTGGACTCATTTTGGAAGAACATTGTAATTGAGAATTGGATTTTGGGTTCAGTAATGATAATTTTTGTGTATATAGTTTGAATTTGGTGTTGATTAATGGTTGAATATGTTTGAATTTGGAGGTTTAATTTGTGTGATTGTGATTGAGTTCGTGGTTGGTGTGTGTTGATTGATGATATTTGACCTAATTTGGGGAAATGTGGGGAGGGGAGTGGGTACTCGGGGAAGATGGGAATTGCTTTCGAGGTTAGATTTGTGAGATTCTGGTTGCTGAATTTTTCAGCAAGTGATTCTGAAGAATCTGAAAAATTAATTTAAAATGCAATTGTGAATTAGGGATTGTTTTGTGATTATTTGGATGCTTAATTATAATATTCCGTATCATGATTTTCTTGTTTTTGACTTAGTTTGGGGACTTGGAAATAAGGAAATTGCCCTTAACATTCCGTAGACAAAGTAGTACTATATTGATTTCGTTTTAGGTTATTAGTAAATCAAATTGGTGAATTTATGAGTACCAAGCAATTAGAGTCCATTTTGTTAGTTTTAAGATTTGGGCATAGCTTGATGCCACATACATTGGTTACATATATCGTGATTGATGTTTTAAAATTTATGATAGAGAAATATGAATGTTACTTTGGTGGAAATGAGTAATTAGAAGCTGTGGGGGTTAGGCGGTCAGCGTAAGAAATAAGAAATAAGTATGGTGGTTTGAGTAGAGATGGATAATGGTGTTGGCTAGGGAAGACAGTATAAGAAGCGGAGGATAGATTCGAACAAGGAAAGATGGGTGCAAAGCGCTAATGCTGGTCTTAGTATGCAACATACTTTCTCTAACCTTAATGGCTGGATGTAGATTTTCCTGAACTCTATAACTTCTCAGTTCTCTAATCAAGCCCTTTAATTTACCCCTTTATATCTTTTTCTCGCTTTGGTGACCCAATGGTCTAGCTTTGCAAAGCATCTTAAGCTCATATAGTTCTGTGTATACTCCTGTATGTTTATGAACACATAGGGCCTTAGTAAAAAATTCTATTTAATAGTACAAAGCATTAGATTTCTTTGTAGATGAATTATATTTCTTCTTGATGTTTTGTGCTGTGAAAATGCTAGACTACCATTGTAAATTTGTTTTAGGTTCTGTTCTGCTTAGAATTTTGTTTATCTATCCAAACTTGCTTGTCATGCCCAATGTAGTCTTTATTGTAATTACTCACAAGGATATTGGTATCAAAAGTCGTGATCCTAGTTTGTCTATGTTAGCTGGTGAAGGACTGGCACTTGGGCATAATGCATCTGACCTCCAGCCAGTATTTTATCCTTGTACTAACATATATATGTTTTGCCAGGCTTGCTGTTATGTCCTCCAGAGTTGGATTTCTAAGAAGTTCATGACTGGATGGTAATTTGCTGTGTATTGAAAATTTTAAATCTTGCTTTTGAAGTATATTGCTAATATTTTTGCATTGGTTTTGAAATTGCAGTGTTGTGCTCTTCCCTGTTGCAGTCACCTTCTTCATTACTTGGTGGTTTATTCAGTTTGTAGATGGTTTCTTCAGTCCTCTGTATGAGAGCCTTGGGATTGACATATTTGGTAATTTCATTTGTTTCGATATACTTTTTACTTGTCCTTATGTGACCTTTTTTTGGCGGGTGGGAGAACTAATTTTGATCTTGGGAAGATGACTAGGCTGGGTGCTTTTTTTTTGCATTGAATGTCTAGAGCAACATCTGCCTATTAATTTTCTGCTCTGTCAAGGACTGAAGGTTTTTTGTAGGGAAGGTAATTGTAAAGCATGAGAGAACTGATATGGTGTAACAATGTAGAACAAGATAAGTTAAGTGGGTTGAGATTAGAGCTAGCAAAACAGGCAAAATCAGTAGGATTGTCAAAGGCAGTCCTTTGGGACTAAACAAATATTTGTATATTGTTAGGGATTGCCGACTCATGCTGAGATGCCTGTTAAAAGATACCTGGAAATACAAATGTTTCTTGAAGTGCTATATTCCTATACTACTATCCGTGCTTTGCCTATATATATAAATATATATATATATATATATATATATATATATATATATATATATATATATATATATATATATATATATATATATATATATATATATATATAGAGGAACAGAATAACCTTATGCACATTTCTACTTGTGGTCTAGGAACATGTAATGTGTGAATTGTTCTTATTAATTTTTTTTTTTACACTGGATTTCTTGGTTGCAGGACTAGGTTTCATCACTTCGCTACTGTTTGTTTTTCTTATTGGTGTTTTTGTTTCCTCTTGGATGGGTGCCACTGTTTTCTGGCTTGGAGAATGGCTGATAAAAAAGATGCCTTTTGTTAGGCATATATATTCTGCGTCTAAACAAATTAGCTCTGCAATTTCACCAGGTAGCACTTGATTTTGAAGACTTCCTGTTAGCCTTACCTAGATGCTATGATCACAACTTCTTAGATGCATTTATCCTTGGCGTCTTGCAGTATGATAATTCATGCATAGGATTATAGCTTTTCTTGTTTGTTGCTCAAATAGTATTGACTGTTGTAGTGCTTTGATAAATCTGACGACTGCTTTGTGAATGGCTTTCAAATGGCTACTACGTAAACTTAAAGCTTATGATGTCTTGATGTAATCTATGCTTCTGTGTTTCAATGTTGGGGTCAGAATAGTTTGAGGCTGACAGCTTCGTTTTTCTGATGTCTTGTATTTTTAATGTATTGAATAGTATCCATTTTTTTTTTTGAACAGATCAGAATACTACTGCTTTTAAAGAGGTGGCAATAATTCGTCATCCACGTGAAGGTGAATATGCCTTTGGCTTCATCACATCTTCTGTCACTCTGCAGGTATGTGAAGCAAATGAACATATGCTGCTTTCTTTTCCATTCATATTTTTTACAGGTGATTTAGCAGCTAGTATTTAGCTTCTATTGGTGTCGCTCTCTTGTGCATTTTATGTCACACACTTGTATACATGCATGTGCAACTGTTGCTTTTCCGTATGGTTTCAATGAGTTTGCACACCCTCAATATGTATGAATCTTTTGGGGTCAAGTAGTCAATTTTAGGGGAAAGAAAAAACCAAAATCTTTTACTCTCTGCTAGATTAGTGCTAAAACAAATGAGAAGCAATACTATATAATACATTACTACCATAGCAGTAATGAAAATGGGAGCAATGTAGTGCTTTGCCTTCCATTTCAGCACTTTCTCATTTGAATCTAGGATTAGCATTAGGTGACTTATGGAGTGAGTGCAACTGCTCAAGGCCTTTTCTTTTTTAATAGTGTAGCTTCTACTGGTTAATGATTTGGAAGGGTTGCAGAAGCTGACTCCTTGATGTGAAAAGATATGGAAGACATACATTTTGTCTTGCAGTCAACTTACTCTTGCCACTGTATACTGAATAATGTCGTGGACTGGTGCTTGACTGTGGAGAAGAGAGAACCAATTTTGCAGTGTTGCTGATACATGGGCTCCATTAAGATGAAAGAAAGTGATGGCAGTGCCAAGGTTGAAAAGTCTGCATTTTTTGAAGGTCTAGTTTGGAAGGACTTCAAAACAAAGAGTAGAAAATTCATGTGGATTAATGGCTAAAATTAATTTACAAGACACTTTGCTCTTCGTAGATATTGATGATCTATGTTGTCTCTATAGCTCTTTTGAGAACAGCTTGTCCTATTCTTAATCTTGGAAAAAAAAAATGTGTAGGGGGGGGTGGAGTGGAGGAGGCAATTTTGATTATATTTGCGTTCTTAGGTTTTGAATTTCTGAATGGTTTTAATTTTGATTATTTTTTCTAATTGCAGAAAGATGATGGTGACGAAGAATTGTGTAGCGTGTATGTTCCAACCAACCATCTTTATATTGGAGACATCTTTCTGGTCAATTCCAAGGATGTTATCAGACCAAATCTTTCTATTCGTGAAGGCATAGGTCTGTTCTCTGTTTCCCTTTTCCTTCCTGTTCACATCTAAAAATTCATATTGCTGTCTTTTTGCACCCAGTATTTTTTTTTTCTTTTATATTGAGCTATAGAAAGAGCTGCTAATTAAGTATTTAGTATTGGAGGTGAACTGGTGAAGGGAATCTGATGTAGAATGAATTTTAAAAGAAACAGATGTAACAGTGACTTAACACTAATATCAGTCATTTCAATACCAAGGGCTTGTTTGGTTGCCTTTAATTTCCATGGGCACTCAAAATTCCCAATGAATTTCCTTTTGGGTATGTTGTTTGGTTGACATTAAAAAGTAAAAATGGAGGAAGTCATAATTCATGGGAATTTTCACTTCCTACAAAACATGAGAAGTTACTTACCCACCCCTCTCTTGGTCATTCACAATTCCCATGATTTATAAATTCCCACATGACAACCAAACATATTTATGTAATTCCTAGGAATTTTAATAAAGGAAGTAATTTCCCATGAATTAGAATTTCCCATGGGAATTTACTTCCTACATCAACCAAACAAGCCCTAATTTTTGTATACTTGCAAGGCATGATATTGAACTGTTTTTAATACCCCTTATATTCACACTGTTTTTCCTTCTCTCAGAGATAATTGTATCAGGGGGCATGACGATGCCACAAGTCATATCACCTGTAGAAAGAACACTGCGACAAAGTGACAGAATTCCGATGAATAGATTGTCAACATAATACTAGGGATGAAGGATGTTTGTTTTTACAAGTGTGATATCTGATTATCAATGTGTGAAGAAAGCTAGCTTGCTTGCCGATAATACCACAAGAAATTTGTTATGCCCACAGCGATTTCATGAGTGAATTCAATGTGGAAATTTCAGTATTCCTTAATTGTTGTATTCATTTGTGGTGTGTATACCGTAGTTCTTGTAATAGTGACCTCTGTACCCAGTATATAGGAAATTTGTAAAGGTAAGGTTATAGATTTTGATAATATCCACTATCGAGTAGCTTTAATCGATTTCATATAAGTGTGTATCCTAAATTATTCCACTAGATAATTTTTATTCGTAAATCACGATGATAGTTTGCACAAATATATGAATTGGGAACCTTGGTTGTGTTACCTTTCAAATTATTATTGTACAACAGTTTAAGGGGGTGTTTGGTTCAAACAATGGTATGGGTTTGGAATGAGGAATGAAATCTGGGTGGTATGGGGTTGGAATTTGATACTTGATTTCATGTGTTTGGTTTTTATCTAGGAATGATAGTTTTCCTTTTAATTTTAAACCTAAAGGTATGAATATAAGCCATACCCACCTCCCCCCTTGGGTTTCAAAAACCCATACCTTAGGGGTTTGAGGTATGAGTTTGTAAAATGAAATTTCAAGAAACAAACATAAAGTATTGGTTTTGGTCATTCCAAACTCATACTTTATACCTAATATGCTTGAACCAAACACCCTCTAAAAGGAACTAGCCTTCTGACCAGGTTGTTTATAGCTATATAATATAAATTTTTAATTTATAACATGTTTTTATTAGAAAATAAATAGTTTATAAAGAATAAGAAGGGGTGATAATTGAATGTAATTAAAATAAAATTTACATGTGGCATGATATGCATGATGGTTTGTATTTTTAAGTATGGATTATTTCACTCTAACATACTTGGTATAATAAGTTGAGACAATATACAAGTAAGTGAAGTTATAAGTTTGGATAAATTAACATTTTGTATTACTTATGAGTTAAGAAGAAATAATACAGATTCAAACTATTCCGTAGTTAATATGGAGTAATTTTTTTTGACAAAACAATACTAAATCTATGAGGGAACTTTTTAAATTTTTTAACTTTAAATATTTGATGTTTGAAGTTTAAAACAGAAATAAGATATTTTGTAGCATGAGGAAAGTTTATCGACCCTCAATTAGCCAATTAGGAATTAATTTATATGGAATAACCAAGTAAAACTTAGGGTTGTTTGGTTGGATGATTTTATCTATTTTTTTGTTTGGTTGAGTTTTTTTTAAGTAATGAAATCTCATATCCAATGGTTCTAATTCTCCCCCATACATCTCATTCCAATAATGAAATCAAACAACTTCAGACTAGTAAGAGTTTTAGAATTCATACCTCTTTAGTATGAGATTTCATATCAATCCATTTCAACTTAATGAACCAAGTACCAAATACCTCCTTTATTTTGTTTCCAAATTTCCCATATCAATCTCTTAATTAAAAAATGAGAACATTTTTTCGACTAAACTCAGATTTTTTTTTAAAAAAAAAGAGGCCTCAAATGGACAGTTTGGTCACCAATTACAAAGAGGAATAATAATTTCCGCATTCCCACAAAATAACAAAAAAATAAAAAATAAAAAAACCTTTTTCGGTAAATACGGAGTACATTTTAGCAGCCTCAATTTCTATTATTCTCCCTCCAGAAACCAGAAACCTCCTAAACCCTAAAATAAACAATACGTCAAAAACCCCCCAATTTCGCAAGCTCAATATCGAAATTAGGGTTTGGAATATTCGAATTCCATCAAATTAAACTCAGTGAATTCCTCAATCGATTGAATTTCGTTGTCCCCAGAAAAATTCAATGGATTTCGACGAGTACGAGTACTTGGAGAAAACGGTGGAAGAAACAGCAGAGGGTCGATCGAAGAAAGAGGAGGTGGGCGGGGAGAAGAGAGAGAAAGGTTACAGAAAGAGGAGAGAAGAAGAATGGGATGATCATCGAGGAGAAGACGATGATGATGAGAGGAAGAAGAAGAAGTTGAGAAGCGAGGAGGAAAATGGGGGTGGAGGAGAGAGAAAGAGGGAGGACAGGGACAGGGACAGGAGGAGAGAGAAAGATGAGAGACCCAGGGACAGGGATAGAGATAGAGAGAGAAGGGATAGAGAGAAGGAGAGAGAAAGGGCGAGGAGAGATAGAGATAGAGAGAAGGAGAGGAGAGAGAGGGAGAAAGAGAAGGAGAGGAGAGAGAGGGAGAAAGATGAGTCTGATAGGGAGAAGGAGAAGGAGAGTGATGTGGAGAAAGAGAAGGAGGTGCGAGGTAGTAGTCGGTCCAGGCGGCATGATAGCCAGGAGCGAGAGGTGAGCCAGGATAGAGACAGGGAGAGGGACCGGTCCAGGCGGAGTAGTAGCCGGTCTAGGCGGCATGATAGCCGTGATAGGGATAGGGATAGGGAGCGGTCAAGGCGAAGCAGTAGTCGGTCTAAGCGGCATGATAGCCGGGAGCCAGATGTGATCAGGGAGAGGGAGAGAGAGGCGCGAGAGATTGAGTCCAGGTAGCTTGCTGGTCCATTCTTCTTATTTACTGGCTTTGCAAATGTGTATTGTTTTGATATTGTGCTTTGTGATTAAATTAAGACTATAACATGTTCTAATTGCGTAGTCTTGGTTCTGGCATTGGTGTCATGCAATTTTCTGATAGAAAAGCTTGATGAACTTGTTATATATAAATTAAAAGCTCCTGTGAAATCATTCGTCATTGATTAATTTATACATGGGAATATTGAAATGGCAAAGTTACAAGAATTATCTGGCTTTGAATCTTGGGTGAAAGGGTTACAATTATTAGGCTTTGAATTGAAAAGAACTATATCAAAATGCCTCACTAACCTTGCTGTACTTTAGAATTTTTGGGGAGTAGTGAAATGTATTTGCATTTTGCTTCAAGATTCTAGTGGAAACAATATTACAGTGAACTTAAGCATCCCATCCTAGATTCCTCCCTTGTAGTCTCTTTAGAGGTTTTAGAATTCTATTGATGTTCACATTGGAATTGGTCAGCAGCAACATCGTGGCTGTAGAATGGTCATAATTCTTGCTTTTACCTCCTATATGTTTGTTTATTTGTGTAAATTGATTATAACTTTTACGGTTTACAGGAGATTAAAAGATAAAAAGGAAGTAGTGGAGCCTGAAGTTGATCCTGAGAGGGATCAGAGAACTGTTTTTGCATACCAGGTGGCTGTCTTTTATCTAATTCTTCAGTTAATTGATCTTCAAGTGGTTTGTTGATTTTTGACATGTGTATCATTACTGTATTGGCTGTTTACAGATGCCTCTCAAAGCAACCGAGAAAGATGTTTATGAATTTTTCTCGAAAGCTGGCAAGGTAAATGACACTTCCTTTGTAATTGTTCCTGATGCTTTATTGTATAGTTGTATACTATTTTTTATGTCCAAGTCTTAGTTTTATCTTTATTATTGTATTTAACATATTTGCTCCTGGCTTGGTACCTTTTTTTTTTTTTTTTTTTTTTTTTGGTGAAATGCTTGATGTATTTACTTGTAAAACATCTACTTTCAAATCAGAGAACTATTTAGGCTCATCAACTGTTTATTTATTATTTGTCACAATTTAAATGTCCCTTGCAGGTGAGGGATGTCAGGCTTATCATGGACCGAAATTCAAGGCGCTCAAAAGGAGTTGGGTATGTTCTTACCTGTTGTTAGTATTCTAGGTGCATGCATTGTTACATATAGCAAGTAGCTTATGCTGTTTTAAGATGCAAGCTTGACTTTATTCTCAAATGAACTAGCAATGCGATAAAGATATCCATGATGAGGGATGATGGGAATACCTTGCTCTCATGTTTAACAATTCATGCAGCATTCTAAAGGTAGACGACATGAACCTGAGCCTACTCTTCGTTTTACTTCTTCGTCAGTCCAAGGACTTAGATTCATTGGTATAATGGTTATTTAATTTAATTTTTCATATTCATTTCTGATTGGGAGTTGTTTCAATTTAGGTAAGTTTTATTTTGGATACATCATTGTAAAGGTGGATTCGCTGAAGAAACTTCATTCTATGATGGTAAAGTCAAGGCCTTCAGGACATAAGAGGCTAGGTGGCCTAGTTAAATCCTAGCTGATTCATCAATCAATATACTGTAACACTAGTGTGACATTTAACATCTAATCCTTGTTTAAGGCGTTTGCAAACGAACTACCTGTATTTATCTGAAATTTATGCACCGCTTGTTGCTCTCAGAAATCTGTCTTACAAACCTGGTACAGTGCTATGAGCAAGGGAAAAGGTTGGGTTATATCTTTGCAGTGCTGATTGCCATGTTTGGTTGTCCATTTTTGTATCGTTACCTGTTAGGGTGGGGTATGCCCTGGTATGGTGATTGGTTTATCTATGTACTTGTGGAATTGGGTATGAATGCATGATCAATGGGAAGGATATTTGGCTTTTTGATACACTTTTCTGATTCTATGTGAAATTTTGCTGACCATTGTGTACCTGATTCTACTATTTATTTTTTAACCTTTCTCAATCCTAATTGTGGCATTGAACATTATGTTATTGCTTGATTGTTTTGGGTTTTTCTCTAACCTATCTTGTATTTGAGAAATCAGATTCTTGAAAAGAAGCTCAGCTTCAGCTTTCTCTCATATGGATTTTGTTCACCACAATTTTATCTGAATTCTTCGTAAGTCCTGCCTGATTTTTCTGCATATCCAATTATTTGGTAATCTTACAGTGACTTCTCGTGATGAGATGCAGGTATGTTGAGTTTTTTGACGTTATGTCTGTGCCAATGGCGATTGCAATGTCTGGTCAGCTATTCCTTGGGCAGCCTGTGATGGTCAAACCGTCTGAGGCTGAAAAGAACCTTGTCCAATCTACAGCTTCTACTGGCACACCTGTTACAGGCCCTTATGGACCTACCGACAGAAAGTTGTACGTTGGTAATTTACACTTCAATATGACAGAGCAGCAGCTGCGTAAGGTGAATCTCTTAACATTCATTTCATGTTTTCTGTCCCTTTTGCATCCTATATTCCTATGCTTTGATACAATCTGTTTTCAGGCGACATCCAAAAGAAAGGGTTGGTATCTATATTGTGAGTTTTGTGACTGTTAATTAATGCTGAAGTCTTTTGCTATAACCTCTATTGTGTGGTTTATTTTTGCACTGATTTATAAGCAAGGATCCTTGTATATTGAGGATGTATTATGTTTGGTAAAGTAGTTAAATTGTAGTGAATACATGCTAGATTAATGAGAGATGCTGTCAGATGATATTTTATATAGCATTATGTCATCTTCAAAGTGGAAGGCCACATTGTACATAACCTGTAAATTTGATTAAATTAACATATACTTCTTGCAACAAAATCCTGGACTTGTTGAGTGAGATGACTAATGGTATCTTTTTTTTATGGGATTCGCCCTATTTGCGGTGAACGAGGATAGGGAGCAGAGTGAACAGATTCATGGGAGATTTGAAATCGCTTACCCTCCCTTTATTGAATGTCATAGCCATTCTTGGAAGTACTCTACTTTGGGATTATTTTTGTAATAGATTCTGAAGTTTCTGATGTTATGGTTGTAAAGCTTTAAGGATAAACAGTGGTATGCTGGGTACAAGTTTTTTACGCGAGGACAGAGTAGCCTGATGTTGTATGAAATCTCTATAATTTGTAACTTTGATAGATTAAGTTGGCCTTAATTATTTTGGGAGTTTATTTAATTGATCACACTTTAACAGATCTCCAGCTTTGGAAGATGAGTTAATATGAAATTAAGGGGCTTTTCTACTTTGTTTATGCTAGCTTCATTTCTTTCCTGATGAAAAAAATTCTTCATGGCTGCTTTTGCAATTCACACATGCATCCATTACCCCCCACCCCCACCACCTTCAGACAACCCTTTTATTTTCTATAGTTCCTTTTGGTCCTTAATGAGTTCTTTGGCTTATTCCTATAATAATCTGCTGATGTGATTACTACCCTTTGTTTCTTGTTGGCAGATATTTGAATCATTTGGTCCTGTGGAGCTGGTGCAACTTCCCCTTGACCCTGAGACTGGACACTGCAAAGGTTTTGGGTTTGTTCAAGTCAGTGAAAAGTTGGTTTATATCTTATTTAGCCCCTTCAATTCAAGCATTGCTTTTTATTTTAGCTGATTTTTTGCTTAATTGACAGTTTGCTCAAGTTGAGCATGCAAAGGCAGCGCAAAGTTTAAATGGGAAAATAGAAATTGCTGGCAGATATATTAAGGTAGGATGTTGCCATGATAGGATCATATGGAAGTAATTTTTTTGTTTAGACTAATTAATTTTTTTTGTTCATACTTATCCCTCTTTGTATTCTTCTGTAAAAGATCTGTCTGTCTGGATACTGCAGGTTTCATCTGTCACTGAACATGTCAGTGGACAAGATACTGGAACAACTGCAGCGGACTTCGATGATGATGATGGGGGTGGTATGGTGAGTTATACATATGATATCTCTCTCTGAAAATCACTCGAATTTGTGCAATGCCTCTGAGTTATGATACCCTGTAGTAGTACTAGTCGTTGCTAAGCAATTGTGATTAGGGCTTTAAAAGGGCATAATTCAATGTTTTAAAAGGCAATAAAAATTCAGATTTTGTGCCCCTGAAACAAATAGCTTTCATTTTGTTGCATACAGTTCATGAAGCTTTAGATATAGCTTGTGTTTGAAGGGAAGAGCTCTTTACTGACGAGTACACTGGTCAAGCAATATGGCTTTCAATTTTTGTTGACGGAAACTTAGTTTGTGAATGTTGTGAGATGTGACAATGAAGAGTTTTCCTGAGATTATTTTCTCTTTTTGTGTGGCATGGATTGATGAATTGACGTATACTTTTTGTCTTGCAGGCTTTAAATGCCCAGTCCAGAGCTTTGCTAATGCAAAAGTTGGACCGCAGTGGTACAGCTTCAAGGTTAGTACTTAGTAGTGCTTGTCTTCCCCACTCTGCAAACTTTCCCCTTCTCTCTCCTGAGGTAATATTTGTTGTTTTGTATGTAGCTTTGCTGGTACTCTTGGTGTGCCAGTGCTTAGTGGTACATCTTCTGTTCAGACGCCTTCCTTGTTCAATGGGCATTGTGCTACTCCTGCTCCCACACTCCCTCACCAACTCCTTCCTACCCCAGCTTCTGAAGCTGTAGGCACCCCTAGTGAGTGTCTTCTGTTGAAAAATTTATTTGATCCAGCCACTGAGGTATGTTTTGTTGCTTTGCTCCTAATGTTGCCCCCTTCCTATTTTGCTCCTTTTACTTGTGCATGTTGATACTATTATTACTGCTTGCAGACTGATCCAGAGTTCGATTTGGACATTAAAGAAGATGTTGAAGACGAATGCTCAAAATTCGGTCGAGTGAGACATATCTATGTTGACAAGTATGTAATACTTAGGCTTTGTTATCTTCAACTTATTTTATGGTGTTCTGATCTGAATTTTATAAGTTCTGGGTTGAATTTTTCTGTGGGTTAGTCTGATTTTAACAGGTATAAATTATAACTTTTACAAGTAATAAGAATAAGTTGAAGAGAACAAAACCTTATTTGTGACCAATAACTTTCATTTTGCCTGCAGTGAAATGTGGTTGATACAATAATTTTTAAAGGGAGGTAAAAAATGTTTGATAGTTTATAAAACTGCTTCACTTGATGTGTTTAAGTGTAATTACATGGCAGGATACCACTTAGGGATTACTAGATTGTGAACCAAGTCAGACCATTTTTTGACTGCTGTCAAATGTAGATTGAGGCAGTGAACGTTTGTCTTGAAATGACAATTTTTGCTTCAGTGTGGTTAGATGGTTGTCTGAGAACTTCACTGTAAAAAAACTTTATGAAATTTTTGAGGTTTCTGATTCATTTCATTGTAGCAATTAGACATTTGCTTTTGTTACTTTGAAATCAAAGTTGAAATATTGCTGCATTCAACTAAAAAAATTTGAAGGTGGACCTCTTTATACTTTTGTTTGGATGTTGGAATCAATTTTCCTTAATAGATTGAATAATTGATATGTCGATTCATTGTAAAGTTGAAATTATTGGAATAGAGTATGTATTTGTCTCATTTGCATTCTCTTTTTGGCTGTATTGTTTTGCATAAGCCCTTTGGTTGCTTTTGGGTCCTCAAATAAATATTCCTTGTTGGCCAACAGTAATGAATTTGTTGAAATTATTGGAATAAATATTCCAATAAAGTTGAAATTATTGGAATAGAGTATGTATTTGTCTCATTTGCATTCTCTTTTTGGCTGTATTGTTTTGCTTAAGCCCTTTGGTTGCTTTTGGGTCCTCAAATAAATATTCCTTGTAATGAATTTGTTGCCTTTTGGTTTGCAGACACAGTGCTGGTCATGTCTACCTTCGTTTTGACACCAAGGAAGCTGCAATGAAAGCCCAGGGTGGAATGCATTTGCGATGGTTTGCTCGTAGGTTGATAACGGCCATCTATATGGTAATGCATTTTTTATGTACATATTGATTTCCTAAACCCTTTCATTGTTGGGTTACATATCCGATTGTTCCAAATCCCTTTTTGTGGTTTTCTCTGTCCATTTTATTATAACAATTTGGAGGATCATAATTTTTCTTAATAGCTGGATGGAGCTTGCCTTATTTATTTCCTTACTAACTGTACAGAATTCTCAAATTAAGTTTTTGGATGTTATATCATCCATATGTTTGTTTTGTACTTTTGTTGGTTTAGTCAAAGCTGAGTTTTTATGTTGTCATCTAGATGAAATGACTTTTTAAAAGAGGGGATTAAGAATCTGCCCTTGCGTATTGATCGGTGTTCTTGTTGTCATCGTCATTTTGTATTATCTGTTCTTGTCAAGGATATCTTATGGATTGTACTTTTGGTTTATTGCAGCAACCTCAAGATTATGAAGCAAAGTTTGGAGATGCTACTTGAAGATTCATTACAATTGCAGCTTTACCCTCTTGGATACTGTTGGAAGTGATTAATCTGTTTCTTTTTGTCATTTTTTTTGGGTGGTGGTTTTTTTTTTTTTTTGGGTTGAGATAATGTAATGTGGTGTGCAATGAGAATAACTATGCTTTATGTTCTATTGATGTCATATACTCTCTCTATTCCTGAATTTCTAACACGCTTTGACTTAGCATAATTTTAACCCATATTTTTTACTTATACAGTATAATTTTTTTTATTTTTTTTTGATAAGATTGATTTATCTTAATAAATGCATAAGATTTTAGTAGTTAAACTTCAAAGTTATAGCTTGTCAGGATATTCAGAGGGATAACACTATACCATCACCATGTGCCAACATCCATTTAAATCTTGTTTTGATTCAGGTGTTTAAATTCCTTTTGATTATTGTATTGTGTAGGATGGTACTCCATGGAATAGTGGCAAGAAAAGAACTCAAGGCGGGGACGGTGGTTGTGTTGCCTTGTGGTTTTGATACAGGTGTTTAAATTCAGGTTGTAAACAAGTTTCTAGTATACCTTGTGGAGTGCTCGATGATGTGTGTTGTGACTGATGATTTAATTTGCCATTGGGATATTTCCTTAGTTTTACATGTTTTTGGGAAAGTAAGTGTAGTTTTAGGGCTTATTTGATCTTAATGTGAGGTTTATCTGTAGCTCGGGATTATCATCGAAAGAATCTCCGTTTTTAGAATTATTGTTGCAATTTTTTCTTTCAATTGTCGCCGCATAAACACGATGTGTATGTATAAAGAGTTGAGTTTAGGTGATGTGTATGTATAAAGAGTTGAGTTTAGGTGATTTCACTATTCACATCGGGTGAAAGTTGCCTCCCTCCCTCCCTGCTCCCATGTTCTCTTCTTTAGAGTTTAGACATACTGCCTCCAATAGACCAACACTACCAGTTTGCCACCACTATGTATTGGTCATTGATTAATAATTACTACTGGTCATTGCCTCTAGTGATATTGGAAGGAGTCTACTTTTTGAAGCTTACCTGCTTAGGACTATTCTTTTGAGTTGCTCTGCTCAACAGCTCAAAACAACAGTGCTTGTTTAAAGCAGAAGTATTGAAGTAAGAGTTTCTTAAACTCTTCAACATTAATGCAGGCGAACTTTAAAATATGCGGGTAAGATATAATACCTATGCTACAATAACTCGATAACAACTTAGATAATTAGAAGACTTTCATTTAAATTTGATACCTTCAATGTTGCGCTTTAATTTCTATTTGATACATCGCCAATTGTGTCTGTCAAACTTCACACGTTCACAGTACAAACTGATTCAACTATATTTACCAACTTCTATAGCTCACATAAGTGATTTGTCACAATATTCACATGTTCACAATACAAATATAAATATAAGTGTTATAGATTCGTAGTTGTTAAATATAGAAGAATGTATTCAACATATTCGAGATAAAATCATATCAATATCAATCTTATATGTTGGACGAATTTGACCACTTTATATGTCATCATATAATTGTAATTAATTTGGTACTTTGTACTTAGGTTAAATAATACAAGTACTTAATGTTACATAGCAAACATAGGATTATTACTACAACTAGCATTATTTGGGCGCATTTACTTAGAGATCCTCACAAATTCCCTAATCTCATATTTAGAGGGCGCGGCTTCGGTTACTTTCTTGCTCTTCTCTTCTTCTTCTTCTTCAACCTCGCACCCTTTTTCTTTCTCTCTCTTCTAATCAACATCTTTGTTAATCTCACTACTTTCTCTCTCCTCTTTAACTGTGAGTACTTCTTTTTACAGTCAATCTTTTATTAGTAGATTTTCTTTTGGTCTAATTTTAAAAAATTTTGTGGGTGTTTTCTGGGTTGTTATTAATCTGATTAGTATATTAACCCTTTGATGTTTTGAGCTTTTTGTTAATGTATTTCATTTTGTTTCTTTAATTTTTTGATGGGTTTTATATATTATTTTAGATGTTACTCTATGTATATGAAAAAGATTGAGTCTTTTATTGATTTCTAATTTTGTTTCTTTATTTGGGGATTACAGAGTTTTTGTAATGGTGATTATATGTGATTGTAGGTTATAACTTTTGTTGAAAAGAATGGCTGAAACCTCCAAAGTTATTCATGTCCGCAATGTGGGCCATGAAATCACTGAGGTAACACCCCATTGGTTTTTATTAGTATTTTAATTTTAATGTAATGTGGAATGTGTAATTTTAATAATTCATGTTTATTGGATTTAATGGAATTTTACAGAATGATTTACTTCAATTGGTTGAACCATTTGGGACTGTCACCAAGCTTGTGATGCTACGTACCAAGAACCAGGTTTTTCTCTTAATTTTGGTGGTTTGTTGTCTATTTGTAGTAATCTAAGTAGATGAGATAGTAATGTACGACACTGTCTTACACTAATTTATTGCGAGTTGTTAGAAGTTAGTCCGGAAAAGGTATAAAGTATTGTATCTTCTTAAATAGAACAAGTCCCCCATTTTAAGTAATTGTGAGGCAGTCTCATTCAAGACTTTGTCGTACTTTTTACTATTTCTCGCCTTTATTTCCCCTTGAGTAACTGTATTGCTGTTTGAGTAGGCTGATAATGTTACCTCTAACGACCAAGTATGACCAGTGACCACCTAGCTCCTCAGGTTTCCTCTTAGTTGGTTAATGGGGTCTTGTATGCAGTATGCACCTTTAATTTCTATTAGTAGGCTCGTTGCGTATAACTAAGAATTTGATGTATCTGTGTTATAAATGTTATTCTTTGTGTTGTAGGCACTCTTGCAACTTCAGGATATGGCATCAGCAATTAATTTAGTGGATTACTATACAAATGTTCAGCCCAATGTTAGGTATTGTCTTTGTTTGGCTTTTCTTTCTTTTTTCTCTGTATAATTACTCATCTTCCTACGATTCTTATGGTGTTGCATGGTAGAGTTAGTGATGGTTCATTAGTATAACCATTTGGTAAATCTTTGATGGTCTATTAGTCCAACCATTTGGTAAGTATTTGATGTTTATTTTTCGTTGAACCATGTATGTGGTGCTGCTATCGCTAGTTTAGTTGTAAGTTGTTTCCGGTTATTGGTTTCATTTAGACAAGCTGTTCATTAATGGTAGTATTTTATTGCCTTCAATTTCTTTTTGTTTTGCAGCCTTCCTTTTTCTTGCGAGTATATTTCTAAATTTTCAACGTAGAGTCATTACATTGTATAGAGATTTGTATTGTCAATGGTACAATTCTGGAAAATAGGGTAACAAAATTAGCCTAATGAAAGTAAGGTTACTGAATAAGAGACATAGTAGGATATGATGTGATGAGAAGCTTGAGGACAAGAGAAATTGGTGCTGGAAGAGGTCAATTGGCAATTGACAATTTCATGACTTAGTAAAATTTATGCACCTTTTTCTAAATGTGAACTATGTGAAGTAGCAAATGGACATACCTCCGTACGTTTAGGTGTGATTAGGTCTGATAAGCGATAAGTTAGAAAGATTCCTGAACAATTAACAGTCATCATAACAAAAGTGTGTTATAAGTCTAGAATCCATTTTGTCTCCTATTGTTAGTGTCTTCTATGTTTCTGATTATCTGTATTTAATTTCCATTTCCTTTCCTCTTCTTGGACCTTTTATTTGGCTTCTTTGTGGATTCTAATATCTGTACTTACCATATCCTCCTTTTTTAGGGGCCGAAATGTATACATGCAGTTTTCTTCCCACCAAGAACTGACAACAGATCAGACTCAAGGACGTAAAAGCGACACGGTTTGTATCTAGCATATAAATTTAGTAAGATTTAATTGGTGTGGGAATTATGCATCGTTTGATGTTACTTTTGGTCGGTTAGAACTAAATTTTGTATGATCATGCATTCATGCTAGACACTGCAATTAAGGTGTTCCCATGATTTAGCTTAACCAACATGTCAACCTTATGACTTATTTGTTAAATTGTGTGGATTGAATGTTAGTGTGTGATAAGGACGGATAAATCAAGTACCTAACTCTAATTGACCTTTTTTTATTTTTTATTTTTAATTATGTGTAAATCATCTGATCTGCCCCTGTACCTCCTGACATATTAAAATTCAAATGGACATAATATTTCACATTTTTAGTCGAGGGAAATGCAGAGAGTTGGCAAGGATCTTCTTATATCCTTTATTTGTAAAAAAAAAACACTTTTCAACTCTATTTTGTTCTCTGATTTATTACAATTATCTAGGGATACCTTGTTATTGCATCCTTTTTCATTTGAGGCGTAGGGGTTTGATCTAGGAGAAATTATAGGAAGGGGATAAGGAGAAGAAAATTTTGAATTTCTTTACACTTTAGGGCGCTCATTCTCCTTTGAGAATTCATTCCACATTCACTCCAAGGAGCACAACCACAAGTAATATTTACTGCTTAGAATTTTGATGCCTCCTTCACGTAGGTTCACATTTTGTTTTCTTCACCACTCCTTGAGGATCAAATTAAGATGATCATCTCATGGTTGTTTAGAGGTTGTCATTGCATTTTATTAAAGTTCAGAAGTATATCACATTTTTCTTCTATGGTACATCATTGCATTTTATTAAAGTTCAGAAGTATATCACAGCATCTAAGTCTTGTTCACCTCTGTATTATTTTCCTTTCCGTGGCAGGATGGACAGCCAAATCGTATACTCTTGGTCAGTATACATCAAGTTATCTATCCTATGACAGTTGATGTTCTCAATCAGGTGTTTTCTCCATATGGGTTTGTGGAAAAAATTGTAACATTCCAGAAGTCAGCTGGTTAGCTTCTTCCTCTGGTCTTGCCTTTTGTAGTTATCTGATCACTCATCCAGTTAACATGATTTATTTGCTAATAATTGTTTTTAACTTAGAATATTGAATAATGTTCCACTGCCACATTTTGTCCGTATAATCCAAAAGGTAGTAATTTTTATTTCATTCCTGCTTATTTTGTGTAGGTTATCAAGCTCTCATCCAGTTTCAAACGCGGCAGAGTGCTGCTTCTGCAATGAGTGCCCTTCATGTCTGTTATCTCTGTAAATTATTATAAGAAAACTTATGTATCTTGCCTTCTGGATTCTCTTAAATTGTCCATTTTTCAGGGGCGGAATGTATATGACGGTTGTTGTCAGTTAGATGTACAATACTCAAAGTAAGGCTTTATCTCTCTCACCATCATGAAATGAGATTCCATATAAGCTTTTTTAAATACAAAATATATATCTTATTCTGTCTGTCATTTCCTTATATTGCAGCCTCACAGAGTTGCAAGTGAATTTTAATAATGATCGCTCGAGGTCAGTTTGAATAATTTAGGAACGTATTCCTTATTACCTTTAGATATAACATATATATGATGGTAATCAAATCAAGGTTTTAATATTTATCTTGAGATTTGTGGACTTGATTTAAGTGGCGTTGTTTGGCTAAAAACAATTACGCGTTTTTTTCTGTTTTCTAGAATGAAATGCTTTCCTTATTCCTGCTTTGCTTTGTTTTAATTTTTTCCAGCAACTCTTTATAAGCAAATTGTCATATTTAAAGTATTAACTATTTATTATAGGTAGAATTTTAGCTTGATGAGTTAAATCCTGAGAGGTAATAGTAGTTACTTTAGAATTTAATGTTAAATTTAAGAAATGTGTATGCATGTGTGTGGGTTGCCATTTTGAGGCAATTAGGCAAACAGATTTTGGAAGATTTTCTTTTTATTATGTACAAAGTATATCTGTGCATTAACTTAACTAAAAATTTTGACGCATTCTTTGATACAAGGACTATGAAACAATGCTTTAACTGTGTAAAGTGAACCTCTCATCCCATCTATTCTCCCTTCCATTACCTTCCTAAACTAGTCTCATTCTTGGATTAGCCTCAGCTATCCCCCCCTCCCCCCCCCCCCGAATGTTCTGTAACAGTCTTTTGTTCTTGTCAAGTTTTGGTGGCTCTTGGATCCATCTGCAGTTTCTCTTCCAAGCTTATTTCTACTCCCTGCTTGTGTTCTGTTAGGGCTTTAGGCAGCTTTTGTTCCTGGGACTTGCATATTTACTCTTTTCCGTAGGGGTGAGGGATTTATTCATTATCTGGAAAATATTTTTACATGTAATCAAATTAAAATTATAAGTAATGCTGCTTAAATTAGTTGTTTTTGTTCATTATTAACTTTTGATGAGAATGAGTAGCTGAAACAAAGAGGAGAATCATTATTGAGATTTGAGAACGATACTTTGGGCACAAAAATCAACATGGATTTGTTTTCTAGAAAAACCAGTTTAAAATTTTCTATGCCACATCATTTGGCGGGAATCAGAACCCCATTGAAGAGATGCATGTTAGACATTTGCATATCAGAACATAAGATACCCGTTAAATATTGGCCTTAGTCGTGGGATAATGGGATGGACTTTCTGAATTCAAGATGTGCTTTGTACATTTATGATTTGATTGATCTGGCTGACATGTTTTTCCCGATTGGGCAGAGATTTTACCAACCCAAATCTTCCTACAGAACAGAGAGGCAGAAGTTCACAAGTGTGTATTTTTTATTTTGCTTGTTTCTTGTTTGGTCTATCTTGATTTTGGCATCTCTCCCGCTAGTCTAGAATCTAAAGGAGGAAATTACTCAGTCTTGTTCTCCTTGGTTCAGTGACCAAGAATGATGCCCAAGTTTTGTCTGCTGCTGATTTTTGTGTGTGGTTTTGTTGGCAACAGTCTGGTTATGGTGATGCAGGGGGAGCATACCCATTTCAAGCTACTGGGAGTGGTTCAGGTGCATAATTGCCATAATATATAATGAACTTTGAATTTCCTTCTTTTTATTATTCAAGTCTGGACTTGGAAGAAAATTCTAATGATTTTTTTTTCTCTTTGTTGCAGCTGGATATGGCCAGGTTTGTATCTCTTGGGGCTTGAGCCTGAATGCTACCAGAGTGGCTATATAAATAAGTTGGAATTTTTTATTTTTCAGAATTATTTCATGTTCCCTATCTTCAAAATTAATTTTTTTTAAACATATTCTTCTCTTCCTATACCTTGTTATTTGTGGCTGTTTCAATCACTGGATTAGGCTATTTTATAAAAACAATTAATTGTATATAATATAAAGCTCTTCACTGAATGCATGGAAGAATTGCGAAGTAGAGGGTTTTTTTTCCTTCATATGTCTTTTTTATATTTTGGTCCGGTGAGAGAAAGAGGGAGGGGGGTTTGCAAGTATGTTTTACCTAAAAACAGTTTCTACGGTTGTTTTTTTGCTTAAAAGAAACTTTGTCCTGATTTGTACTGGTTTTTGATGTTTTGTATTATAATGCTCTTTGTTGTTTCTCCAGATGGGACATGCTGCAGCTATGTCGGCTTTTGCTGGTGGCCTTCCTCCAGGTGTTAGTGGGAACAATGATAGATGTACTGTTATTGTATCTAATTTAAATCCTGATGTGAGTCAATACTCTGCCTCTCCACCTAATCGATCTTCACTCAATAGCACCCCCCCCCCCCCTCCCCCCTTCTTTTACTCCTTTTAACTGATTGTGTGACAAATCTTTTTGTCAGAGAATAGATGAAGACAAGTTGTTCAATTTATTTTCGCTGTATGGCAACATTATAAGGATCAAGCTTCTCCGAGGCAAGCCTGATCATGCACTTGTTGAAATGTCTGATGGTTTTCAGGCTGAATTGGCTGTTAACTTCTTAAAGGTTTGAATCGAAATTGGACCTTTTTTTATTTTTTATTGCAAGTCTCTCAAAGTAGTGGTTTTATTTATTTTCTTTCCGATTAGAACAAGTGCTGAGTAAGCTGTAAATCTAAAGGACAGACTACATACGTCATAGGTTTTCTTAAAAAAGAAAAAAGATTTGGGTCAATTACTAAAACTACCATGGACATTTACGACAACATGTAATGATCAGATTTGGTTCCAAACGACATTTATAACCCCGGGATGTATCCCCTAGTATCTCAAGATTTTTCGACACCGGTCTCAAAACCTCCGAAATTGCCCAAAATCGTGTATAGCCTTCAATTTTGGACAATTTTTCTCATTTTTTTTTTTCCGGAAAAAATGTTGTCGAGATGCTTCCTATAGACCCTAATACTCTACGGTAGTCCATGTAGGTGGGTGGAACCATTCAATTTGCCTCTAAGCATCCGATTTACCCGTTTTCGTACACGCCTCTTGTACTAGCTATAAGCTTTCACGGGGCCTTTATGTAACCGACTAATGGTCGTATATGGTTCTAAACAACATTATATGACCCCGGGATGCATCCCGTAGTTTTCCGTGAATTTTTACACCGGGTCCCGACACCTCCTAAATTGCTTCGATTTCGTGTATGATAGCCTTCAAATATGGCTTCTGTACATCATTTTTTCACCTGGCAAGATTATGCATCCAGGTACTTCTAGGGGTTCCCAAAGGGCCTTAAGAGTCATAATTAGTGCACGGAACCATCTCAAAGGCAAAGACGACATACCCTTAAATGACAAAAATATATGTTTGTATGCCTTGTCCTTGGGCCAAGTCTGGATTTGAAAGCTGCTTGAATTTAGTTGTATCATTTGTATATTGTCCCCCGTCTACTCTGCAAGGGCAAAATACAAAACATAAGTGCACCTTTTTTATTATCTGAACAATTTCTTTTGGAGTATCCTGAGTTACTCCTTACAAGAATTACAGTAAGTCTGTTGATTTTCTACTATCTTCTGCATGAATTATAGTAAGCTGTTAGCTGTATCACATCTGATGTTTAGAATGCACAATCGATACCTGATATAATTTTAAACTTTGTTCTGATCTTTTTATGTATCATTATTAGCTTGTGCTGCTTTATTCCTGAGATCTCACCAATTACCAAATAAAAAATTTAGTTAGTTTTACAATAATCTTCTTAGACGTCAGTCCTCTTGGAAGGTCAGCACTTGTTTGCGGACTATGCACTTCTTTGATGACTATGGTCTGTACTTGTTATTACTGTTTAGACTTCAGAATGCATTTTGCTATGACTAAAATGTTTGTTTCACTTATCCTTGATAACTCAGGGAGCGCTGCTGTTTGGGAAACGAATAGAGGTGAACTTCTCCAAGTATTCAAACATAACACCATCTCCAGACACCCGTGATTACCAGAATTCAAACTTGAATCGTTTCAACCATAATGCTGCAAAACACTACAAATATTGTTGCTCTCCCACAAAAATGATTCACCTATCAAGTGTCCCTGAAGATGCAAGTCAGGAGGAGATTGTAGACCTTTTGGAGGAACATGGACAGGTTGTCAGCACCAAGATTTTTGAGGCAAATGGTAAGAAGCAAGTTTTAGTTTTATTCGAGACTGAAGAAGAGGCAACTGAAGCCCTCGTTTGCAAGCATGCTACTTCATTTTGTGGATCAATCATCCGCATTTCTTTCTCCCAATCGCAAAACACATGAAAGATACAGGCTGCTCAGATCTGAAAGGCACTCTGCAAAGGTTTTGGTTGTTACCTTGTTGCTTTCTAATTATCAGAACACTGTTTTGTAAAACTTCCCTATTCTTCCTTTATTTGCCTTCCATAGTCTCTATAGCTTGTCGTGTTGAGGAACTTATACATACATATGTATCGTTCAAAACTAATTATGGGTTTGAGTTACTGATAATATAGACATTTCTCATATTTTCAGGCAGTGTACTGTTGTAACTATCGAGGTAGCATCTTGATGCACTGGCTAAGCCTTGAAAATGCTCTACTAGTCTACTTAATTCAGTTGAACATCCAATTGATTCCAAATGTAGACAATGAGGTGTTTTTTTCACTGAATTGAGAATAATGGCTAAAAAAGACTCTTTGTCCCTTAGGAATTATGATGGAGCAAGTATTGTACATCCAGAGTGGGAGGATTAAGGTCTTTAAGTGCATTAAAGAGGGAGTGTTTTAAAACTCTCAACCACTTTAAAACTAATTAACACTTCATCCCTTACATATAAAATCTCTCAACTGCTTAAAATTAATTAGAATTAAATTCCATAATTTTTACGTAATATTAATACACCTAATTTGTCACTTTTTTTTTTAATAGCACCTAATTTGTCACTTACAACCTTATGTATTCGTGTGACTTTGACAATCGTTTGTCAATACTACTCCACCTTACACGCCTACCTTTTTCTACCAATAAGTAAAACTACAAATGAAATGTAATATTTCCTCTTCGTATGATCTCGATAAATCAAAATTATCAAACTTTATAAAACATACACAAACATAACACGAAAATATCTTTATACGACGGATAGAGAATATATGCCCAAAAGGGAAACACAAACCCTGAAACACCCCTTCTTAATATAGCCAACACAAGATCCAGTAAATTATCCAAAAACATCCACAATAATAAATAAAATCCCTAAAATAAATAACAAAAAAAAAAAAATCCGGTAATTCTGGCGATAAGACTGATTCGTAATCCTCTTATTTAGTTGTAGCAACTATAACACTCTCACACGTACTTTCTTCTCCGCAATTTTCGACCTTCAAATTTTCCATTATTTGCCGAATTAATCAAACCTCTAATCTTCCTTAATTCTGCAAATTTTAGATTACAAATTATTAGTGGTACTCCTCTAACTCTTTTTTCCTCTTTTGAACCCTAGAATTTTTCTTCTTTGACTCTATCTTTTTTCTGGAATTCATGTTGTTTAATATTGTGATTAATAATATTATTGTTGAGATTTTAATTTGTGATTTTTTGGTGTAATTTTTCTTGTTTTTTTCCAGAGAAAAATTGACGAAGGTGGTGGTGATGGATAGGTATACAAGAGTAGAAAAACCTAAAGCAGAAACTCCGATTAATGAGAATGAAATTAGGATTACTACTCAAGGTCGTATGCGTAATTACATTACCTATGCCACCACTCTTCTCCAGGTTTTTTTTTCATTTTCTCTCTCCTCTGTTTTTTCGCCATTTATGTTTGCATTTTGTAAAAAAATTAGGTTTTGATTAAATTTGTATGGAATTGTTTTTGTTTTTTAAATTTGGATTGCCTAAATATTGTTGGGATTATTTCAATTTTAGGTATTGATTGTCTAATTGGATGCATTTTATAGATGATTATGTTGTTGATTATACATTAAAATTGTGTGTAATTTATTGATTTTGGAGCATTTTTTTGAGTATTTGCTAGCTAAAATGTGTATGGAAGGAAGCTTAAAGTTTTGACATTTTTTTGAAAAAGTAACATGAAATGTAAATATGTTATTGTTGATTTTTCTTTCAATTGATTTTCGACAAGATTTCGGTTATTTTTTGTAGTTGAAGTTCAAAATCATGAACCTAGGCAGATTGTTCGATTGGACATAGGTTTCAAAGTACATTAATCTTATAAGATCATCTGAAAAAAGATCAACTTTATAATAATTTGAAGGCAAGTCTTAATTTGTGTGGCCAATTAGCAAATACTTGATTAAAAATGATTGATATTTTTGTAACTCCAGTTTATATTTCCACTAATCTAAGGCTCTTAGCTATATGTTAATAATTAAAATCAACAAATATTATTGATCCATATCATCTCTAAGTTTAGGGGTACGAAATTCTTCTTAACATACTGTTGTTTACTATCTTAACCATTTTTCATCATGGTTTCTTTATTGATCATATGTTTATGTTTGCTTATTTGTGTTGCGAATTTGTGATTCACTGGGGCTTGTTCCTGTCGATTAGGAGAAAGGTTCAGATGAAGTTGCACTCAAAGCAATGGGTAGAGCAATCAACAAGACTGTGATGATTGCTGAACTAATTAAGGTATATTGGCTTTTTAAGTTTTATTATTGGTAATTATTTGGGAATTTCGTGAAAAATTATACAAAGTGATATCGATGTGTGTACTGTACAATGCAATATAATATAAACTAATGAAGTTGTACTTAGTGTCACTGTCTCGCCAACTACTTAACTTTTTGTGCAAAATTATATAATTGTTACCACCCTTAATACTTGCTACTACCAATCTACCTGTTTTATACTGTATGAGTGCTTGTTTGGTAAGAATTTTCTATGGTTTCAATTTGGTACCAGAGAAGGATTGTGGGACTCCACCAGAATACATCCATTGGATCAACTGATATTACTGACAATTGGGAGCCATTAGAAGAAGGCCTTCAACCGTATGAACTAACCTTGTATTTAGGTTTTTGAACCAGTGTACTGATGCGCTAATATTTATTGCTTATCATCCCAAGTAATTTTCTGCTTTTCTTCTTTGTTACAGCATTGAAACTACACGTCATGTCTCCATGATCACAATCACATTGTCTAAGAAAGAGCTGAACATATCATCTACTGGGTAAGACTATTACACTATTAGATTGAATAACACTCTGTATATAATAGGCTGAACTCTGAAATTCTGAACAGTTTATCATTCCCTAAAACCTCAATTTATGCTATACAATATAAGCATTACTTGTGATTTTGTGACCAAAAAATAATTTATGAAATAGAATTTGACAACTAATAGCCTATTCCTTGTTTTCAAACAAGAGATTTTTCTCTGTGGGAAATGTTCCCTTTACCATTGACAGGAGTATATTTTTATCCTTACTACAATCTCCTTATGTAGGATTCTTAAATTAATAGTCTCCTACATGTAGGAGACTATAAATAATAGACTACTATCACTAGGTTGTGAGTTAATAAAATGTTATGTCATGCCAAAGCCTGATATTTTTGCTTGTACTATCTCATCACTATAACAGCTAATACATGCATTGTGGGTGGTGAATTTGGATCCTGGATGTCCTTGTATAACCCTATCATATTGTATATCAAGAAGCCAGAATTTCAACTTGAGGGTGGTCAGGCTTTGTTTTCATCTTTGTTGTCTTAGAAATTCTTACATAACTTGTGATTTATAACTGAATTCTTGGCCATTCACCATTGTGAATTTGTGAAATTTGATATAGTAGTAGCTGAGAAGTTGAATTTTAATTCTTTGTAGTTCTTTTGTGCTGAGGTTATATAAAACAACCTTAATTCATGAGGTAATCAAATGAAATTTTTCAATCGCATTTTGCTCATTATATATATTCTTCTGTCTCTTTTTGTTTTAGGTATCAGCCACCTATCCCTGAAGATCAAGTGAGGCCATCAAATAATTTTGAAAATGAAGGAGGTGAGACTTTTACTAGTGCTTATAAAAAGATGCTTTCTACTAGATTACGTGAGTTTTTTTTTTATTTTATTTTTGTTAGGTTCCTTTGTAATAAAATTGAGTTAAGGTCACTTTGCAATAGACTTAAAAGAAATGTCAAGTTTAACTTCATAAAGATGTTGGCCCTGTTCATGTATAAATGACTTCGAGTTGAAAACCCATAACCCGTTGCCTTCTTCGACTTGAGTGTTTCGCCCAGGATTCAAGTTGTTTTTTTAATCTATAAACGTTGATGTTTAACGGCGTCAATACGAGATACAGACAAGTAATACAGCTGGCAAACCAAGTAAAACGCATAAGAATAATGAGGCCACATCACACATCCAGCAAATGAATTATATTAGGTGGAATGTCGGTTCTACCCCCATGAGAAACAAAACTTGTTTCTCACAGTGAGAAACAGGGAATTTCCCGATTGGGTGGTCCGCTCTATGTTTTAAATAATTTTTCTCATCATTGCTAAAAGTAATTCTTTTTCACATTGAGTAGTCTAGTTTCATTGATCAAAATTCATAATCATGAATTTGACCTATGATTACCGGAAATTTTAAGTGTTTGCACCTTTATGGATTAAATTGAGACATAATTGAATGTTTTGTTGGAAATCTTGGAATCATCTTCATTAATCTGATGTAGTTTTGCTCCTGCAACAGAGGGTTCACCTGATGTAAGAGGTAGGGGACGTGGTGGCCGAAATAGAGGCAGGGGGAGAGGTACTTTAAATATCTATCATTTTTGCTTGCTTTGTTTTATTTATGCCTTTATTATGAGTTATTATTATCTATTGGATTCTCTACCTAAAGTCCAATATGAGGTTTCTTGATTAAGTCTTCACCATTTCTTGGGTTTATGAATTTACTAAACTGGAAAGTTATGTTCTCTACAGGAATGTACAATGGACCGGGGGATTATGATGGAGGTGGTTACTATGGTGGCCGTGGATATGGTGGCAGAGGTCGAGGTCGTGGCAGAAGTCAGAATTTTAGGGGGCGAGGAAGAGGTTATTATGCCCAAGGATCTGGTGGGTATTATGACAATGGTGAAGGGGAAGTGCCAGTTACTCGTGGACGTGGTAAGCTATTTTTTTTTAGTTTAGCCATATAACGTCCAACTAATATTGTCATTCTTCAACCTTGAACTTAAACTCTTTATGTCGTCGTTTATCATTGCTCCCTATTGTAATGGCCTACTACAGTGATTTCCCCCTTTCATTTCCGCTTTAATATGGTTTGAAACTGAATTCAAAGTTTAAAATATGTGCAAGATAGAGATTTCTTCCCTCCCTCACCTCATCCCAAACCCCTTGCCCTTTCTGAGGGTGTTGCTTTCTCTGGGTATTCCGTGATAAGTCTTTCCTAGTTTCCTTTTATAAATGTTTTTTCTCCTTGGGCTTTCTGTACAGACCTAATTTGACTGTCATTAATTGGGTGAAATTCTTTCTTCCTCAGTACTCTTGATTGGATTTTCTGCTGACTCTCTGTTTTTGTAGGTCGTGGGCGTGGTAGAGGATGGGCTCGTGGACGTGGTTCCAGGGCCGAAGGGCCACCTCAAATGGCAGCTGCTTGACCTTTGCTGAGGTATAACATTTGGTTTGCAGTTGGAAAAACATGATATTGGATGCCTGCTCTCTTGTGTTGTGTTGGTTGCTAATCATGGGCATTTTCATCTGTTTTAAAGATGTGGATAGTGCTGCTGCCACCGGCATGCAGCTGTGTTTTTGTAGGTTACAGAATTAGGTTTATTATTTGTTGCTGACAGATTTTTTTTCTCCCCCATCTTCAAACACCCAAAGAAAGGTTGTAACATTTTATTTTTCTTTCTCATATAGTTATAATAATAGAGCAGTACATTCTTTTATTCTTAATACTTCATGTTTTAAATCTTAATGCCCTCAAAGGGGCATCGTTTTGGTAACGTTTTATCTTTAGACCATGCAGAGACTACATTGTTAGCTGAACAGAGCTGTATCAAAATGATTACACAGACCAGTGTTGTTTTATAATTATGATCTCAACCCCTGGAACCGGAAGGAGTTCTAGCTTGAAAAAAATATGTTAATATTGATAGTACAAGTTGCTTGGCTGATAGATTGTAAAATGAAAGCTTGATATCGTTTTCTTTTTTTCACACCATGCCTAATTGCCTAATGTCTGATTAGTGTGATTATTGTTCTTTGGTAATAAGAACTGTGCAAAGGACTAATTACTTCATAGTAAATTCAATTCCAATTATGTACTTTATCTCTTGCATAATTGAAATATGTGTTTATGTTTCCCTGGCAAACTTTACAATCTACTTTTCATACACTGGAGTTAGAGCTGTCAATTTGGGTAAACGGGTCGGGTTTGGGTCGGGTAAGAGTGGGTCGGGTCAACTCGGGTCGGGTCAATTCGGATTAATTCAATAATCTATGTGGGTTTGGTTATGCTTGAGTCGGGTCATACTTCTTATCGGGTTAAGGTCGGGTTACATTCGGATCGGGTGAACAATAGGTCGGGTTTAATTCGGGTTTTCACGGGTTAAAACGGGTTAGGGTAATTCTCGGATTCGAGTCGGGTTTGGTTCAAGTCAATAACTTGCGCGTTTGAATCAGGTCGGGTTATTCTCGGGTTTGAGTCGGGTTTGGTTGAAGTTAATAATTTGCGGATTATAATCAAGTCGGGTCATTTTTAAGTCGGGTCATTCTCGGGTTCAAGTCCGGTTCAGTTCAAGTCAATAATTTGCGGGTTATAATCAGGTTGGGTCAATTCCAAGTCGAGTCATTCTCTGATTCAAGTCGGGTTATGTCCAAGTCAATAATTTGCAAGTTACAATCAGGTCACGTCATTTCCAAGTCAGATCATATTCGGGTTCAACTAATTATAAATAGATAATTATCATTTTTATCAAGTTAATTATTTTCTTTGGCTATAATATATATGACAATATACTAGAGAACTAAAGTCTATAATTTATAAAGATAATTATCTCCTTTGACCATACAACAAAAATATACTATATTTAAATCTTAAATTTGAGGATGATGCTCCTTTTTTTTTGCTTGCCTGGACCGATTTGGTCTCCCTAGACAAAATGCTTTGATCAACAATAATAAGGTGGTCTAAATTGCATTTAAGGTGATTTGAAATCGGGTCAAGAACAATTTGAGTTGAATTTAGGTCGGGTCAATAACAAGTCTTGTTAATTTCGAGTCGGGTTATTAACAGATCGGGTTGAATTTTTGGGTCGTGGTAAGCTACACATAATGAAATAGGTGCAAGTTGTAAACATGTAAATTGACCATTTAAAGGCAAATTGGATAGTTTAACCCACCCAATTGGACTCCCGGAGGGTATTAGGGACCATGGTAAAAATTTCGGCAATTTTTATTTCCAGGCGAATAAAAATCAAAAATTCCAAAATGGAAGGCTTATATCAACGCTTTTTGAGAAATTTTGGAGGTTTCAGGGCACGGTGTCGAAAAGTCTTGAGATTTTAGGGAATACATCTCGGGGTCATATAATGACGTTTGGAACCATATATGATCATTATATGTTGTCATAAATATTCGTGGTAGGTTTGATTTAATGAGATCGGTGCAAATTATAATTCGGTAAACAGGTCGTTTAAAGGCAAATTGGATGGTTCTACCCACCCAATTGGACTCCCGAAGGATATTAGGGACCATGTTAAACATTTCGGCAATTATTATTTTCGGGCGAAAAAAGTCTAAAAAATTCAAAAAACAAAGACTACTCTATTCACGGTTTTGAGAAATTTTAAAAGTTTCGGGGCCCAGTATCGAAAATTCTTGAGTATCTAGGGAATACATATTAGGGTCATAAAATTTCATTTGGAACCATATATGATTATTATTTGTTATCATAAATGTTCGTGGTAGGCTTGAGTTAATGAAATCGGTGCAAGTTGTATGCCGGTAAATTGGCCGTTTAAAGGGAAATTGGATGGTTCCTTCCACCCAATTGGACTCCCAGAAGGTATTAAGGACCATGGTGAACAATTCGGCAATTTTTATTTCCAGGCGAAAAAAGTAAAAACGTTTCAAAACTGAAAGCTAATTATCCACAATTTTCGAGAAATTTTGGAGGTTTCGGGGTACTTCTCGAAAAGACTCGAGATATTAGGGGATACTTCTCGGGGTCATATAATGCCGTTAGAATCCATATATTATCATTATATGTTGTCATAAATGTTCGTGGTAAGCTTGAATTAATGAAATCGGTGCAAGTTGTAAATCGATAAATTAGTCGTTTAAAGGAAAATTAGTTGGTTCCACCTACCCAATTGGACTCCTAGAGGGTATTAGAGACCATAGTAAACATTTTGAAAACTTTTTTTCCGGGCGAAATAAAGTCAAAAAATTCAAAAATTGAAGGCTAATATGCACGTTTTTTGAGAAATTTTAGAGTTTTCGGAGCCCAGTGTCTAAACGTCTTGAAATGATTGGGAATATATCTCGTGGTCATATAATGTCGTTTGGACCCATATATGATCATTATTTGTTGTCATAAATGTTCGTTGTAGGTTTGAGTTAATGGAATCGGTGCAATTTGTAAATCGGTAAATTGGTCTTTTAAAAGAAAATTGTATGGTTCCACCCACCCAATTGGGATCCTGGGGAGAATTAGGGACAGTGGTAAACATTTTGACAATTTTTAATTTTGGGTGAAAAAAAAGTCAAAAAATTCAAAAATTGAAGGCTAATATGCGCGTTTTTTTAAAAATTTTGGAGTTTTCGGGGCCCAGTATCTAAACGTCTTGAAAATATAGGGAATACATCTCGTGGTCATAAAATTTCGTTCGGACCCATATAAGATCATTATTTGTTGTCATAAATGTTCGTGGTAGGCTTGAGTTAATGAAATCGGTGCAATTTGTAAACCGGTAAATTGGTCGTTTAAAGGAAAATTGGATGGTTCCACCCATCCAATTGGACTCCTAGAGAGAATTAGGGAGAATAGTAAACATTTCGACAATTTTAATTTTCGGGCGAAAAAAAAGTCAAAAAATTCAAAAATTGAAGGCTAATACCCACGTTTTTTGAAAAAATTTGGAGTCTTCAGGGCCCAATGTCTAAAAGTCTTGAAATTATAGTGAATACATCTCGTGGTCATATAATGTCGTTTGGAACCATATATGATCATTATTTATTGTCATAAATGTTCGTGGTAGACTTTAGTTAATGAAATCGGTGCAATTTGTATTACTTGTATACCGATAAATTGGCCGTTTAAAGGCAAATTGGATGGTTCCATCCACCCAATTAGACTCCCAGAGGGTACTATGGACCATGGTAAACATTTCGGCAATTTTTATTTCCGGGCGAAAAAAAGTCAAAAAATTCCAAAATAGAAGGTAATATATACAAAATTTTTGAAAAATTTTTTAGGTTTCGGGGCCCGGTGTCGAAAAGTTTTGAAATTCTAGGGGATATATCTTGGGGTCATGTAATGCCGTTTGGATCCATAAATAATATTATTTGTTGTCATAAATTTTCGTGGTAGGCTTGAGTTAATGAAATCGGTGCAATTTGTAAACCGGTAAATTGGTCGTTTAAAGGCAAATTGTATGGTTCCACCCACTCAATTGGACTCACGGAGGGTATTAAGGACCATGGTAAATATTTCGTCAATTTTTATTTTCAGGCGAAAAAAAATCAAAATATTCCAAAATTGAAGGCTAATATCCACGCTTTTTGATAAATTTTGGAGGTTTCGGGACCCGTTGACAAAAAGACTCGAGATATTACGAGATATATCTTGGGGTCATATTTTGTCGTTTGGAACCATATATAATCATTATATGTTGTTGTAAATGTTTGTGGTAGGCTTGAATTAATGAAATCGGTGCAAGTTGTAAATCGATAAATTGGCCGTTTAAAGGCATATTGGTTGGTTCCACCTACCCAATTGTACTCCTTGAGGGTATTAGGGACCATGGTAAACATTTCGGCAATTATTATTTCCGGGCGAAAAAAATTAGAAAAAGTCCAAAATTGAAGACTAATAATATCCACGTTTTTAAAAAAAAAAAAATGGAGGTTTCGGGGCCCAATGTCGAAAAATCTTAAAATTTTAGGGGATATATTTTGGGGTCATTTAATTCCGTTTGGAACCATATATAATATAATTTGTAGTCATAAATTTTCGTGATAGGCTTGAGTTAATGAAATCGGTGCAAGTTATAAACCGGTAAATTGGTCGTTTAAAGGCAAATTGGATGGTTACACCTACCCAATTGGACTCTCGGAGGGTATTAAGGACCTTGGTAAACATTTCGTCACTTTTTATTTAGTGGTGACAAAAAAGTCAAAAAATTCCAAAATTGAAGGCTAATTTCCACGCTTTTTAAGAAATTTTGGAGGTTTCGGGGCCCGTTGACGAAAAGACTCGAGATATTAGGGGATACATCTCGGGGTCATATTATGCCGTTTGGAACCATATATAATCACTATATGTTGTCATAATATTATATTCGTGGTAGGCTTGAATTAATGAAATCGATGGAAGTTGTAAATCGGTAAATTGGTCGTTCAAAGGAAAATTGATTGGTTCCACCTACCCAATTGAACTCCTGGAGGGTATTAGGGACCATGGTAAACTTTTCGGCAATTTTTATTTTCGGGCGAAAAAAAGTCAAAAAAATTCAAAAATTGAATCCACGTTTTTTAAGAAATTTTGGAGTCTTTGGGGCCCAGTGTCTAAACGTCTTGAAATTATAATGAATACATTTTGTGGTCATATAATGCCTTTTGCCTTTTGGACCCATATATGATCATTATTTGTTGTCATAAATGTTCGTGGTAGGCTTGAGTTAATGAAATCGGCGCAAGTTGTATATCAGTAAATTGGGTCAGATGGGTCAGATAATAATCGGGTTTGAGTCGTTATTTTGTGTCGGGTCAACTTTTGCTA